GTCTTCATCTGAGTAGTCTCCACAGTCGTTGACTCCATCACACACGAACGTTAATCCAAGGCAGGTTCCATCGCCACAACGGATTTGGTCTGAGCGGCATTGGCAGTTTGGAGTCTCATCGCTCTGGTCCATGCAGTCCGGCTCCCCATTGCAGTAAAACCATCCAGGTATGCACTGCCCGTCAGCACATCGGAACTCACTGATTGAACATCCTGGTAAGATATATATTATTTTTAAGATAACGTGAGATCCAATATGATACTTTCACATTACGAATTGAAGCCACATTACCATCTGGATTGTCAAAGATAACGTTCGTGTTCATGAAACATTATTTTTCATAGTTAATGTGTTATTGTAGACAACTTGTATTAATATATTTAATAGGAAATGGGGTTCTTTATCAAGATTTATGAAAATGGCACGACATTTAGAATTTGTTTCAAATGTACCAAAATCAATTTCATCCGATCCATCGCTGCAGTCTGTGTCGCCATCAAAAACAAACATCGAGTCAAGGCATTGCCTGCTGCTTCTGCATGTGAACTGACTTGGAGAGCAAGCTGCAGGAAAAAAAGAAACGTGCAAAAATGTCAATACACAGTGATTAACTCAGAGGGAATCCACTTTGAATAATCAACGCTTTAATGCTTAAAAAGACAACGAATCTAAACTCACTGCAGTTGGCCTCATCTGAGTAGTCCCCACAGTCATTGACTCCATCACAGAAGCTCTCCTTTGCCAGGCAGGTCCCATTGCCACAAGGAAGTTGCAGCTCTGGGAGGCAAAGGCAGCTCGGAGTCTCATCGCTGTGGTCTGCACAGTCAGCCTCTCCATTGCAATAAAACCATCCAGGTATGCACTGCTTCTTGTTAGCACAGCGGAACTCATGCACTGCACACTCTGGATTGTCACAAATGTTAGTCAATGGGTCTTTAGTTTTTTGCTTTGAATGTTGATATATTTACTTTATTGGTGGTACAAGGACCTGTGGCTTTTTAGGATGAGGATAAATCACTTTTCATTTTAATACATTCGTTAGAGTATAAAACTATATTAAAGTTACCAATATCGCAGCCAATTTCATCTGATCCATCACTGCAGTCCGTTTCTCCATCACAAACAAATATCGAGTCCACGCACAGCCTGCTGCTCCTGCACGTGAACTGGATCGGTGAACAAGCTGCACAGAAAATGAGAAGAAATTAGTAAACTATAGTTTATGTGACACGACTTATTTACTCATTGTTTTTTTGGTAAAGTCACGTATGTAACACACTTCTACGGGGAAGGTACCTTTACAATTCTGTCCTAACGTAGTGCACCCCTTGCTCGCTCCTACCCCTCCCCCGCCTCTGCTGCGTTGCAGCCCGTGCTTTCTCTTGCTCCTCCCCCAGCCTCTGCAGCCGTGCCCTCTCTCTCCGGCCCCTCCCCCCACCTCCACTTATTTAAGGCTTCTGTTCATCCCTCCGGCCCTTTCTTCTTATTCCTTGCTTCTCTGTCCGTCTTTCCTCTCCTTGCCTCTTGGTGTCTCTGTATTTGTATTTCTGCTGACTTGTACCTCGTATTTGTTCACTCTGTCTATGCTGGTATGTTCAATCCAGAGGTTGAACACGAAATTGAGCACTCTTGTGAAATTCGTGGTCCGCCAGGTAAGTGTCTAACTGTGTTGTTGGCCTGACTGGTTGTGCATCACATATTTTTTCTTAGGTTTGTTGAATTCTCGTCTCTCATCTTCTTGTTGTATTTACCTCCGTGATTTGTTTTTTACACCTGATGAAGATCGCTTGTGTTGCGGTGGAAACATCGTGATTGATTTATTTTAATATAATTTTACGGTATTTCTACATACGTGACTTTACCGAAAAAAACAATGAGTAATTTATGCAGTCACGAAAGCTTTAATTCTTTACGACTTATTTAATTGACATACATTGTTTTCAATTGGAAAGACATTAAACTCACTGCAGTTGGCCTCATCTGAGTAGTCCCCACAGTCGTTGACTCCATCACAGAAGCTCTCCTTTGCCAGGCAGGTCCCATTGCCACAAGGCATTTGCAGCTCTGGGAGGCAATGGCAGCTGGGAGTCTCATCGCTGTGGTCTGCACAGTCGGCCTCTCCATTGCAGTAAAACCATCCAGGTATGCACTGCTTCTTGTTAGCACAGCGGAACTCAGGCACTGCACACTCTGGATTGTCACAAATGTTAGTCAATGGGTCTTTAGTTTTTTGCTTTGAATGTTGATCTATTTACTTTGTTGGTGGTACAAGGACCTGTGGCTCTTTGGGATGAGGATAAATCACTTTTCATTATAATACAATTGTTAGAGTATAAAACTATATTAAAGTTACCAATATCGCAGCCAATTTCATCTGATCCATCACTGCAGTCCGTTTCTCCATCACAAACAAACATCGAGTCCACGCACAGCCTGCTGCTCCTGCACGTGAACTGGATTGGTGAACAAGCTGCACAGAAAATGAGAAGAAATTAGTAAACTATAGTTTATGTAACACGACTTATTTACTCATTGTTTTTTTTCAGTAAAGTCACGTATGTAACACACTTCGACGAGGAAGGTACCTTTACAATTCTGTCCTAAACGTAGTGCACCCCTTGCTCGCTCCTACCCCTCCCCCGCCTCTGCTGCGTTGCAGCCCGTGCTTTCTCTTGCTCCTCCCCCAGCCTCTGCAGCCGTGCCCTCTCTCTCCGGCCCCTCCCCCCACCTCCACTTATTATTTAAGGCTTCTGTTGATCCCTTCGGCCCTTTCTTCTTTTTCCTTGCTTCTCTGTCCGTCTTTCCTCTCCTTGCCTCCTGGTGTCTCTGTATTTGTATTTCTGCTGACTTGTACCTCGTATTTGTTCACTCTGTCTATGCTGGTATGTTCAATCCAGAGGTTGAACACGAAATTTAACACTCTTCTGAAATTCGTGGTCTGCCAAGAAGTGTCTAACTGTGTTGTTGGCCTGACTGGATGTGCTTCACATAATGTTTTTTCAGGTTTTTTTAATTCTCGTCTCTCATCTTCTTGTTGTATTTACCTCTGTGATTTGTTTTTTACACCTGATGAAGATCGCTTGTGTTGCGGTCGAAACGTCCTGATTGATTCATTTTAATATAATTTTATGGTATTTATACATACGTGACTTTACCAAAAAAAAGAATGAGTAATTTATGCAGTCACGAAAGCTTTAATTCTTTACGACTTATTTAATTGACATACATTGTTTTCAATTGGAAAGACATTACACTCACTGCAGTTGGCCTCATCTGAGTAGTCCCCACAGTCGTTGACTCCATCACAGAAGCTCTCCTTTGCCAGGCAGGTCCCATTGCCACAAGGCATTTGCAGCTCTGGGAGGCAATGGCAGCTGGGAGTCTCATCGCTGTGGTCTGCACAGTCGGCCTCTCCATTGCAGTAAAACCATCCAGGTATGCACTGCTTCTTGTTAGCACAGCGGAACTCAGGCACTGCACACTCTGGATTGTCACAAATGTTAGTCAATGGGTCTTTAGTTTTTTGCTTTGAATGTTCATATATTTACTTTGTTGGTGGTACAAGGACCTGTGGCTCTTTCGGATGAAGATAAATCACTTTTCATTTTAATACATTCGTTAGAGTATAAAACTATATTAAAGTTACCAATATCGCAGCCAATTTCATCTGATCCATCACTGCAGTCCGTTTCTCCATCACAAACAAATATCCAGTCCACGCACAGCCTGCTGCTCCCGCACGTGAACTGGATTGGTGAACAAGCTGCACAGAAAATGAGAAGAAATTATTAAACTATAGTTTATGTAACACGACTTATTTTATTGACATACATTGTTTTCACTTAGAAAGACATTAAACTCACTGCAGTTGGCCTCATCTGAGTAGTCCCCACAGTCATTGACTCCATCACAGAAGCTCTCCTTTGCCAGGCAAGTCCCATTGTCACAACGGATTTGGTCTGAGCGGCATTGGCAGATCGGCATCTCATCACTCTGGTCTGCACAGTCGGGCTCCCCATCACAGTAAAGACGTCCAGGGATGCAGTGCTTCTTATTGGCACAGCGGAACTCACTTTCTGAACATTCTGGTATGACATAGATAAACAATGTGTATTAGGTAAATATTACACTTTAACATTCATTTATTTAATAAAGAATTAAAGCTTTCGTAACTGCATAAATTACTCACTGTTTTTTTCGGTAAAGTAACGTATGTAGTAAAATTATATTAAAATAAATCAATCACGACGTTTCGACCGCAACACAAGCGATCTTCATCAAATGTAAAAAACAAATCGCACATAGGGTGATATCAACGCAACACATAGAGAGCGTTAAACTGCACGGAGGTAAATACAACAAGAAGATGAGAGTCGAGAATTCAACAAACCTAAGAAAAATTTACGTGATGCAAAACCAGTCGGCCAACGACACAGTTAGACACTTGCCTGGCAGACCACGAATTTCAGAAGAGTGCTAAATTTCGTGTTCATCCTCTGGGTTGAACATACCAGCATAGACAGAGTGATGAAGATCGCTTGTGTTGCAGTCGAAACGTCGTGATTGATTTATATTAATATAATTTTAGTACATACGTGACTTTACCGAAAAAATCAATGAGTAATTCATTTATTTGTTCCTAATGTGTCCTAACACCATTTCCAGTTACTTTGTGGGATGCACATTTCCCAAATACATAGAAACAACACAACCATCTGCGAGTTATCCTTGGCCAGGTAATTAATTTCATGATCATATATTTTTGAACAAACCTCTTTCACAGTCACTTTCATCAGATCCATCGCTACAGTCAGTTTCTCCATCACAAACGTATAGCCAGTCCAAACATTCGGTGTTGCTGCTATTGCATTTGAACTTGCTTGGAGTGCAAGCTGGAAAAAAACATGAATTCATTACTTGGTAGGAATGATACAAATTTTCTATTAATCAATATTTACATTAAAAATGCGAAAGTATAATTTCCATTATGATTTACTCACTGCAGTTGCTTTCATCTGAATAGTCTCTACAGTCGTTGACTCCATCACACACGAACACTATTCCAAGGCAGGTTCCATTGCCACAACGGATTTGGTCTGAGCGGCATTGGCAGTTTGAAGGCTCATCACTCTGGTCTGTACAGTCAGGCTCTCCATCACAGTAAAGACGTCCAGGGATGCAATGCTTCTTATCGGCACAGCGGAATTCACTGCTGGAACACTCTGGTAGGATATACATTATAAAAAAGATTAAGTGAGATCAAATTGTATACTTTCACATCGTGGATTGATGTCTAATTTTATTCTTAACTTATTCCACGTTGCATAGGGGAAAAAACAACAATTTTAAAGTTATTCGCAAGCAGATAATTGATTTCATGTTTTTTGTTAAACAAACCTTTCTCACAGTCACTTTCATCAGATCCATCACTACAGTCAGTTTCTCCATCACAGACATAGAGTCGGTCCAAACATTCGGTGTTGCTGTTATTGCATTTGTACTTGCTTGGAGTACAAGCTGAAAAACATACATAAATGAATTAATTTGTAGGAATGACAGTTTTTCTAATCATCAATATATGACATTCAAAATGCTAACGTATAATTTACATTATGATTAACTCACTGCAGTTGCTTTCGTCTGAATTGTCTCCACAGTCATTGATTCCATCACACACGAACACTATTCCAAGGCAGCTTCCATTGGGACAACGGATTTGGTCTGAGCGGCATTGGCAGTTTGGAGTCTCATCACTCTGGTCTGCACAGTCGGGCTCCCCATCACAGTAAAGACGTCCAGGGATGCAATGCTTCTTGTCGGCACAGCGGAATTCACTTTCTGAACATTCTGGTATGATAGATTAAGAAAAAAGATGAAGTGAGATCAAATTGTATACTTTCACATTTTGGATTGATGTTCAATTCATCCTGAACTGATTCCACGTTGCATAGGGGAAAAAAACAACAATTTTAAAGTTATTCGTAAGTAGGCAATTGATTTCATGTTTTTTGTTCAACAAACCTTTCTCACAGTCACTTTCATCAGATCCATCGCTACAGTCAGTTTCTCCATCGCAGACGTAGAGTGGGTCCAAACATTCTGTGTTGCTGTTATTGCATTTGTACTGATTCGATGTGCAAGCTGAAAAAACAATTGTCAATTAATATCTTCCTATAAATGATACAGATTTTACATTGAGATATGGCATTCGTAATTTAAAGTACCGTATTTTCCCGCATATAACCCGCGGGGTATACCACTTTTTACAAACAATACAAGACCCTGCGGGGTATATGGAGGTGTGCGCTTCCCAAAAATATTTTACACGTGTGACATGTCATAACTCGTTACAGTTTTTCATGGTAGGACTATCCACTATGCAACACTTATCTTTGACTAAAGCACTGCTGAATAAATCACTCACACTAAAATTGCACATGTTATCACGTTTTAAATGAATTGTTTGTACAATTAAACGACAATGTTTGAAGTGCGCGCACTGTTTACCGGCGACGGGAGAGCTGGGAATAGAGAGGTGGGGGTTGGGCAGCTGGCGGGAGAGAGAGGTGGGGGTAGGGCAGCTGGGGGGAGGGAGAGGTGGGGTTGGGGGCGAGGCGAAGGCGTTACCGTAGTGCCGCTATTATCTGCGCAGTGCGCAATATACCAGCTATAAAACTGTACTTAATTATCTAACAGTTATGTGTTACTTATTTATTGGATATTTGCTTTTGTTACTTATTTACTGTTTTACGTTCACTCGTTTCCGGTTAGTTTGTTTTCTTTGTGCATGTTATGATTTTAATGTTAACAATTGATAGTGGAATGTATTACAAATGTAAACTTTGTATCATTATAGAATGAAGCTGCGGTAACGACGTTAAATATATGAATGCATGCGGGGTATATGGATGTGCAGGCTATCCGAAATGTATTTGACACAAAACGCTATTTTTGCGGGGTATATGCGTCTGCCAGTTATATGCGTATGCGGGCTATATGCGGGAAAAATGTTTTAACTCACTGCAGTTGCTTTCATCTGAATAGTCTCCACAGTCGTTGACTCCATCACACACGAACACTATTCCAAGGCAGGTTCCATTGCCACAACGGATTTGGTCTGAGCGGCATTGGCAGTTTGGAGTCTCATCACTCTGGTCTGCACAGTCGGGCTCCCCATCACAGTAAAGACGTCCAGGGATGCAATGCTTCTTATCGGCACAGCGGAATTCACTGCTGGAACACTCTAGTAGGATATACATTATAAAAAAGATTAAGTGAGATCAAATTGTATACTTTCACATCGTGGATTGATGTCTAATTTTATTCTTAACTTATTCCACGTTGCATAGGGGAAAAAACAACAATTTTAAAGTTATTCGCAAGCAGATCATTGATTTCATGTTTTTTGTTAAACAAACCTTTCTCACAGTCACTTTCATCAGATCCATCACTACAGTCAGTTTCTCCATCACAGACATAGAGTCGGTCCAAACATTCGGTGTTGCTGTTATTGCATTTGTACTTGCTTGGAGTACAAGCTGAAAAAATACATAAATGAATTAATTTGTAGGAATGACAGTTTTTCTAATCATCAATATATGACATTCAAAATGCTAACGTATAATTTACATTATGATTAACTCACTGCAGTTGCTTTCGTCTGAATTGTCTCCACAGTCATTGATTCCATCACACACGAACACTATTCCAAGGCAGCTTCCATTGGGACAACGGATTTGGTCTGAGCGGCATTGGCAGTTTGGAGTCTCATCACTCTGGTCTGCACAGTCGGGCTCCCCATCACAGTAAAGACGTCCAGGGATGCAATGCTTCTTGTCGGCACAGCGGAATTCACTTTCTGAACATTCTGGTATGATAGATTAAGAAAAAAGATGAAGTGAGATCAAATTGTATACTTTCACATTTTGGATTGATGTTCAATTCATCCTGAACTGATTCCACGTTGCATAGGGGAAAAAAAAACAACAATTTTAAAGTTATTCGTAAGTAGGTAATTGATTTCATGTTTTTTGTTCAACAAACCTTTCTCACAGTCACTTTCATCAGATCCATCGCTACAGTCAGTTTCTCCATCGCAGACGTAGAGTGGGTCCAAACATTCTGTGTTGCTGTTATTGCATTTGTACTGATTCGGTGTGCAAGCTGAAAAAACAATTGTCAATTAATATCTTCCTATAAATGATACCGATTTTACATTGAGATATGGCATTCGTAATTTAAAGTACCGTATTTTCCCGCATATAACCCGCGGGGTATACCACTTTTTACAAACAATACAAGACCCTGCAGGGTATATGGAGGTGTGCGCTATCCCAAAAATATTTTACACGTGTGACATGTCATAACTCGTTACATTTTTTCATGGTAGGACTATCCACTATGCAACACTTATCTTTGACTAAAGCACTGCTGAATAAATCACTCACACTAAAATTGCACATGTTATCACGTTTTAAATGAATTGTTTGTACAATTAAACGACAATGTTTGAAGTGCGCGCACTGTTTAGCGACGGGAGAGCTGGGAATAGAGAGGTGGGGGTTGGGCAGCTGGCGGGAGAGAGAGGTGGGGGTAGGGCAGCTGGGGCAAGGGAGAGGTGGGGTTGGGGGGTGGGGCAGAGCGAGATCTGTGGTGGTGATGGGAGAGCTGGGTGAAGAGGTGGGGTTTGGGCAGCTGGGGGGAGAGAGAGGTGGGGGTAGGGCAGCTGGGGGGAGGGAGAGGTGGGGTTGGGGGCGAGGCGACGGCGTTACCGTAGTGCCGCTATTATCTGCGCAGTGCGCAATATACCAGCTATAAAACTGTACTTAATTATCTAACAGTTATGTGTTACTTATTTATTGGATATTTGCTTTTGTTACTTATTTACTGTTTTACGTTCACTCGTTTCCAGTTAGTTTGTTTTCTTTGTGCATGTTATGATTTTAATGTTAACAATTGATAGTGGAATGTATTACAAATGTAAACTTTGTATCATTATAGAATGAAGCTGCGGTAACGACGTTAAATATATGAATGCATGCGGGGTATATGGATGTGCAGGCTATCCGAAATGTATTTGACACAAAACGCTATTTTTGCGGGGTATATGCGTCTGCCAGTTATATGCGTATGCGGGCTATATGCGGGAAAAATGTTTTAACTCACTGCAGTTGCTTTCATCTGAATAGTCTCCACAGTCGTTGACTCCATCACACACGAACACTATTCCAAGGCAGGTTCCATTGCCACAACGGATTTGGTCTGAGCGGCATTGGCAGTTTGGAGTCTCATCACTCTGGTCTGCACAGTCGGGCTCCCCATCACAGTAAAGACGTCCAGGGATGCAATGCTTCTTATCGGCACAGCGGAATTCACTGCTGGAACACTCTGGTAGGATATACATTATAAAAAAGATTAAGTGAGATCAAATTGTATACTTTCACATCGTGGATTGATGTCTAATTTTATTCTTAACTTATTCCACGTTGCATAGGGGAAAAAACAACAATTTTAAAGTTATTCGCAAGCAGATCATTGATTTCATGTTTTTTGTTAAACAAACCTTTCTCACAGTCACTTTCATCAGATCCATCACTACAGTCAGTTTCTCCATCACAGACATAGAGTCGGTCCAAACATTCGGTGTTGCTGTTATTGCATTTGTACTTGCTTGGAGTACAAGCTGAAAAAATACATAAATGAATTAATTCGTAGGAATGACAGTTTTTCTAATCATCAATATATGACATTCAAAATGCTAACATATAATTTACATTATGATTAACTCACTGCAGTTGCTTTCGTCTGAATTGTCTCCACAGTCATTGATTCCATCACACACGAACACTATTCCAAGGCAGCTTCCATTGGGACAACGGATTTGGTCTGAGCGGCATTGGCAGTTTGGAGTCTCATCACTCTGGTCTGCACAGTCGGGCTCCCCATCACAGTAAAGACGTCCAGGGATGCAATGCTTCTTGTCGGCACAGCGGAATTCACTTTCTGAACATTCTGGTATGATAGATTAAGAAAAAAGATGAAGTGAGATCAAATTGTATACTTTCACATTTTGGATTGATGTTCAATTCATCCTGAACTGATTCCACGTTGCATAGGGGAAAAAAAAAACAACAATTTTAAAGTTATTCGTAAGTAGGTAATTGATTTCATGTTTTTTGTTCAACAAACCTTTCTCACAGTCACTTTCATCAGATCCATCGCTACAGTCAGTTTCTCCATCGCAGACGTAGAGTGGGTCCAAACATTCTGTGTTGCTGTTATTGCATTTGTACTGATTCGGTGTGCAAGCTGAAAAAACAATTGTCAATTAATATCTTCCTATAAATGATACCGATTTTACATTGAGATATGGCATTCGTAATTTAAAGTACCGTATTTTCCCGCATATAACCCGCGGGGTATACCACTTTTTACAAACAATACAAGACCCTGCAGGGTATATGGAGGTGTGCGCTATCCCAAAAATATTTTACACGTGTGACATGTCATAACTCGTTACATTTTTTCATGGTAGGACTATCCACTATGCAACACTTATCTTTGACTAAAGCACTGCTGAATAAATCACTCACACTAAAATTGCACATGTTATCACGTTTTAAATGAATTGTTTGTACAATTAAACGACAATGTTTGAAGTGCGCGCACTGTTTAGCGACGGGAGAGCTGGGAATAGAGAGGTGGGGGTTGGGCAGCTGGCGGGAGAGAGAGGTGGGGGTAGGGCAGCTGGGGCGAGGGAGAGGTGTGGTTGGGGGGTGGGGCAGAGCGAGATCTGTGGTGGTGATGGGAGAGCTGGGTGGAGAGGTGGGGTTTGGGCAGCTGGGGGGAGAGAGAGGTGGGGGTAGGGCAGCTGGGGGGATGGAGAGGTGGGGTTGGGGGCGAGGCGACGGCGTTACCGTAGTGCCGCTATTATCTGCGCAGTGCGCAATATACCAGCTATAAAACTGTACTTAATTATCTAACAGTTATGTGTTACTTATTTATTGGATATTTGCTTTTGTTACTTATTTACTGTTTTACGTTCACTCGTTTCCAGTAAGTTTGTTTTCTTTGTGCATGTTATGATTTTAATGTTAACAATTGATAGTGGAATGTATTACAAATGTAAACTTTGTATCATTATAGAATGAAGCTGCGGTAACGACGTTAAATATATGAATGCATGCGGGGTATATGGATGTGCAGGCTATCTGAAATGTATTTGACACAAAACGCTATTTTTGCGGGGTATATGCGTCTGCCAGTTATATGCGTATGCGGGCTATATTGCGGGAAAAATGTTTTAACTCACTGCAGTTGCCTTCATCTGAATAGTCTCCACAGTCGTTGACTCCATCACACACGAACACTATTCCAAGGCAGGTTCCATTGCCACAACGGATTTGGTCTGAGCGGCATTGGCAGTTTGGAGTCTCATCACTCTGGTCTGCACAGTCGGGCTCCCCATCACAGTAAAGACGTCCAGGGATGCAATGCTTCTTATCGGCACAGCGGAATTCACTGCTGGAACACTCTGGTAGGATATACATCATAAAAAAGATTAAGTGAGATCAAATTGTATACTTTCACATCGTGGATTGATGTCTAATTTTATTCTTAACTTATTCCACGTTGCATAGGGGAAAAAACAACAATTTTAAAGTTATTCGCAAGCAGATCATTGATTTCATGTTTTTTTGTTAAACAAACCTTTCTCACAGTCACTTTCATCAGATCCATCACTACAGTCAGTTTCTCCATCACAGACATAGAGTCGGTCCAAACATTCGGTGTTGCTGTTATTGCATTTGTACTTGCTTGGAGTACAAGCTGAAAAAATACATAAATGAATTAATTCGTAGGAATGACAGTTTTTCTAATCATCAATATATGACATTCAAAATGCTAACGTATAATTTACATTATGATTAACTCACTGCAGTTGCTTTCGTCTGAATTGTCTCCACAGTCATTGATTCCATCACACACGAACACTATTCCAAGGCAGCTTCCATTGGGACAACGGATTTGGTCTGAGCGGCATTGGCAGTTTGGAGTCTCATCACTCTGGTCTGCACAGTCGGGCTCCCCATCACAGTAAAGACGTCCAGGGATGCAATGCTTCTTGTCGGCACAGCGGAATTCACTTTCTGAACATTCTGGTATGATAGATTAAGAAAAAAGATGAAGTGAGATCAAATTGTATACTTTCACATTATGGATTGATGTTCAATTCATCCTGAACTGATTCCACGTTGCATAGGGAAAAAAAAAACAACAATTTTAAAGTTATTCGTAAGTAGGTAATTGATTTCATGTTTTTTGTTCAACAAACCTTTCTCACAGTCACTTTCATCAGATCCATCGCTACAGTCAGTTTCTCCATCGCAGACGTAGAGTGGGTCCAAACATTCTGTGTTGCTGTTATTGCATTTGTACTGATTCGGTGTGCAAGCTGAAAAAACAATTGTCAATTAATATCTTCCTATAAATGATACCGATTTTACATTGAGATATGGCATTCGTAATTTAAAGTACCGTATTTTCCCGCATATAACCCGCGGGGTATACCACTTTTTACAAACAATACAAGACCCTGCGGGGTATATGGAGGTGTGCGCTATCCCAAAAATATTTTACACGTGTGACATGTCATAACTCGTTACATTTTTTCATGGTAGGACTATCCACTATGCAACACTTATCTTTGACTAAAGCACTGCTGAATAAATCACTCACACTAAAATTGCACATGTTATCACGTTTTAAATGAATTGTTTGTACAATTAAACGACAATGTTTGAAGTGCGCGCACTGTTTAGCGACGGGAGAGCTGGGAATAGAGAGGTGGGGGTTGGGCAGCTGGCGGGAGAGAGAGGTGGGGGTAGGGCAGCTGGGGCGAGGGAGAGGTGTGGTTGGGGGGTGGGGCAGAGCGAGATCTGTGGTGGTGATGGGAGAGCTGGGTGGAGAGGTGGGGTTTGGGCAGCTGGGGGGAGAGAGAGGTGGGGGTAGGGCAGCTGGGGGGAGGGAGAGGTGGGGTTGGGGGCGAGGCGACGGCGTTACCGTAGTGCCGCTATTATCTGCGCAGTGCGCAATATACCAGCTATAAAACTGTACTTAATTATCTAACAGTTATGTGTTACTTATTTATTGGATATTTGCTTTTGTTACTTATTTACTGTTTTACGTTCACTCGTTTCCAGTTAGTTTGTTTTCTTTGTGCATGTTATGATTTTAATGTTAACAATTGATAGTGGAATGTATTACAAATGTAAACTTTGTATCATTATAGAATGAAGCTGCGGTAACGACGTTAAATATATGAATGCATGCGGGGTATATGGATGTGCAGGCTATCTGAGAATGTATTTGACACAAAACGCTATTTTTGCGGGGTATATGCGTCTGCCAGTTATATGCGTATGCGGGCTATATTGCGGGAAAAATGTTTTAACTCACTGCAGTTGCCTTCATCTGAATAGTCTCCACAGTCGTTGACTCCATCACACACGAACACTATTCCAAGGCAGGTTCCATTGCCACAACGGATTTGGTCTGAGCGGCATTGGCAGTTTGGAGTCTCATCACTCTGGTCTGCACAGTCGGGCTCCCCATCACAGTAAAGACGTCCAGGGATGCAATGCTTCTTATCGGCACAGCGGAATTCACTGCTGGAACACTCTGGTAGGATATACATCATAAAAAAGATTAAGTGAGATCAAATTGTATACTTTCACATCGTGGATTGATGTCTAATTTTATTCTTAACTTATTCCACGTTGCATAGGGGAAAAAACAACAATTTTAAAGTTATTCGCAAGCAGATCATTGATTTCATGTTTTTTGTTAAACAAACCTTTCTCACAGTCACTTTCATCAGATCCATCACTACAGTCAGTTTCTCCATCACAGACATAGAGTCGGTCCAAACATTCGGTGTTGCTGTTATTGCATTTGTACTTGCTTGGAGTACAAGCTGAAAAAATACATAAATGAATTAATTCGTAGGAATGACAGTTTTTCTAATCATCAATATATGACATTCAAAATGCTAACGTATAATTTACATTATGATTAACTCACTGCAGTTGCTTTCGTCTGAATTGTCTCCACAGTCATTGATTCCATCACACACGAACACTATTCCAAGGCAGCTTCCATTGGGACAACGGATTTGGTCTGAGCGGCATTGGCAGTTTGGAGTCTCATCACTCTGGTCTGCACAGTCGGGCTCCCCATCACAGTAAAGACGTCCAGGGATGCAATGCTTCTTGTCGGCACAGCGGAATTCACTTTCTGAACATTCTGGTATGATAGATTAAGAAAAAAGATGAAGTGAGATCAAATTGTATACTTTCACATTATGGATTGATGTTCAATTCATCCTGAACTGATTCCACGTTGCATAGGGGAAAAAAAAAAAACAATTTTAAAGTTATTCGTAAGTAGGTAATTTATTTCATGTTTTTTGTTCAACAAACCTTTCTCACAGTCACTTTCATCAGATCCATCGCTACAGTCAGTTTCTCCATCGCAGACGTAGAGTGGGTCCAAACATTCTGTGTTGCTGTTATTGCATTTGTACTGATTCGGTGTGCAAGCTGAAAAAACAATTGTCAATTAATATCTTCCTATAAATGATACCGATTTTACATTGAGATATGGAATTCTTAACGTAAAGTATACGTCCCATGTTTTAACTCACTGCAGTTACTTTCGTCTGAATAGTCTCCACAGTCGTTGACTCCATCACACATGAACACTATTCCAAGGCAGCTTCCATTGGCACAACGGATTTGGTCTGAGCGGCATTGGCAGTTTGGAGTCTCATCACTCTGGTCTGCACAGTCGGGCTCCCCATCACAGTAAAGATGTCCAGGGATGCAGTGCTTCTTATCGGCACAGCGGAACTCACTTCCTGCACACACTTAGAAAACACAATCAATTCTGTGATTATTTTACAACGTGAAAATATTAAGTGAAATATTCTTTGGGTCTTTCGGTAAAGTCACAAATAGCTGAGTTTGTAGTTTTCATGTCAGGGATCACATCCTTCACATATTGGCTGCTGACATTTGGGCTACGCCCATTTCTAACCTTTAGAAACAGTTTACCTTTAGAAGCTTACCCTAGAATGCTTGTGTTGCGATTGAAACGTCGTAGTTTTTTTTATTATTTTTTGTTTTCTTTGAACCTACCTACGTGATTTTACTAAAAGACCCAAATAATATGAATTCCTGTAGTCACGAGCTTTAAGTCAAGAATGAAGTGAAATCTTATACATATTCATAATATTTCGTTGAGCAAGTCACCTGTAGTCCACTTCTCCGTCACAAACATAAAGTGCATCTAAACAACTCCCATATATTCACATCCATTTAGTTTTTTTATCATTTTAGTATTACATTAAGCATGTTGAAAGATGAAAAAAGAACAGGCTTTCATCCATCCTGGCAAAATCTATCTGATAGAAAGCTCGAAGCACTGCGTGTCTTACCAATAGTCAACGGTGTTGTCTGTAGTGTCACTGGCAGCTGTGTTGGCAATGGTGTTGGGGTTGTCTGTCCTGTTAAACAAGAGCAGGTGATCGTTAATGCTTATTCAGCTACTGTAACTATGTTCCATGTCCCACCATTTCGAAACCTGTTATTGCTTGCAGTCAATTAAACAGTTGAACAGGACTGTAGTTAAGTGTGAGTGTCGGTCGGATTTTCCCTTCTGGATGGCAAGACATTCCAAAAAGGCCCGAACCAAATTTCCTCTAAAACGAGTCCACTAGCTCAGACAGACAGCCACTGATGCACAGGAAATTGAATCCAGTCGTGGCTTGTCTTCTAGAAATCTGTTCTCACCCTCAACTCATAATTTACGATAATGTAATTCTGTCTAAATAAAACACAGAAACAGTCATACAAGTGAAGTATTGGGTGACTGTCTTGGACAGTGGACCTGTGAAGATAACTAGTTTCCAGGGCACGGATCAAGCGAATTGGGAATCGAGTGAAAAAAAGGGTTTGCAAATAACACATCGAAGTAATGGTTTCCAAGGTTCGTAATGGTTTCCAAGGTTCAGAAGGCAACTAGGAGAACATGTCAAAAAGGCAAGATCAAAGTTAACAGGGGTCAAAAGGTCTTGGGGTTAGGGTATAACAAGATCAAATGCAGGGCTAGGTTTTTACAACGTGGAGTAAAACCCTGACTAGCTTGTTTCCAGCTCGCCGGATTTTGCATATAGCCACACCAAACCAGATAATGCAAGAAAAGTATTAAAACATTTTAATAGCATTCAAAATACGTAAATACATTATAATGTCCATGCTAAATACTGTGGCATTCTATGTCATGTTATAATACGAATACACTATAATGCGTGATCTTACCTATAAACGTCATTTTTTGTATGTTTGTCTCTCTATGTGTCTGTGTATCTGTCTGTGTACGAAACTTGCGAAGGATTTGGCTCGTAAACCGTGGGGTATACGTTTTTAAAAAGTACCCAGGTAGCACGCAATAACCCCCATGGTGAGCCAGCACTATTCCATTTTCGCATCCATCAACTTTAAAGTAGTAAAAAATTTCAATTTAGTGCAATTTATTATTATTTCCTTACGCCGCTCAGTGCGCGCCAAAGCACGTATTTGCGCATGCGCGACAAAGCCGTGGTTTCCCCTAGCAACGCACACTCGTGCGATTGGTGGAGTTGTGGGAAAATTCTCATTCGCGTTAAAAATGCAATAAAAATACACAAAACGCTGAGGTAAATTATTCACAGTGTGATGTCCACTTCTCCCTTCCCCACCCCAATGTGTGCAGTTACTACTATAGAGTCGGTAGATGTTACTACTGTAGGTCGTAGATACTACTGCAGAGCGGGCAGGGGGATCGTGGGTGGGAGGCGGGTAGCAGCCGAGCCCCAACCTGCCAAGGTGCCACCTCGGCTGGCTGGGCAATCTAGGCGAGGCCGGGAGCTCTGCACGGGACTAGGCCTCACCACTACACTCTGTGCAGTTTGTACAATTATAGATTTTGGCTGCAGGAATTCATATTCTTTGGTTCGTTCGGTAAAGTCACGCAAGATGGAAAAATTATAATACAAAATAAAGTTAATAAAAATAAAATAATATAAAATAAAACCACTAATGTAGACTGTTGCCTGGTTTGGAGCTTTCGTGACTGCAGGAATTGCTCTTTGGCTCTTTCGGTAAAGTCACGTAGAAAGAAAAATAAATTAAATACTAGCATACAACGTTTCGATTGCAACACAAGCAATCATCATCAGGTACAAATGAAAGAGAAAACAGACCTAGTAAACTTAAAAAATATAATGCAATACAACACAGAGAGTTGGCTAACATAACAGTCAACACCCTACCTGGTTGATTACGTTCTTCCAAAGATTGCTAAATTTGAGAGAGAAACAAAACTCAGACACGGGGACACATAGACAGACACATAAGCAGAGAGAGATAACACAGAGACACACAGAGAGAGACATACACATAGGCACACAGAGAAACAACGCCTCTGTGTCGAGGCCTTAAATAGAGAGAGAAGGGGGCAGAGAGAGAGGGGGAGGTAGAGAAATTAGCATGTCAATGAGAGATTTGGAGTTTTCGTGACTGCAGGAAATACAACACGAGGACAGAGAGAAAACACACTTAATCAAACAAACTTAACACAGAGGAGTTGTTCCTCTGTGTGCCTATGTGTGTGTCTCTCTCTGTGTCTCTGTGTTATCTCTCTCTGCTTATGTGTCTGTCTATGTGTCCCCGTGTCTGTTTTTTGTCTCTCTCTCACATTTAGCAATCTTTGGAAGAACGTAATCAACCAGGTAGGGTGTTGACTGTTATGTTAGCCGACTCTCTGTGTTGTATTGCATTATATTTCTAAGTTTACTTGGTTTGTTTTCTCTTTCATTTGTACCTGATGATGATTGCTTGTGTTGCAATCGAAACGTCGTATGCTATTATTTAATCTATTTTTCTTTCTACGTGACTTTACTGAAAGAACCAAAGAGTGTTGCCTGGTTCTGATGCGGAGTGAGTGTACTGGCAGTCTATAATGTAGACTGTAGCCTAGTAATTAAGTTTGGTGAATGTACTGCCAGTCTATAATGTAGACCAGGGGTCCCCAACCCCCGGGCCGCGGACCGGTACCGATCCGTGGCCTGTTAGGCACCGGGCCGCACAGCAGCAGGAGGTGAGCGGTGAGTCCACGCGTGGCCCGCCCCCATTATTTTATTATTTACCACTTCAATCCGTGCCTCTTTCCTGCACTGCGCCACTTGTCTCAGTCACAGTGTTGGTAAGCCCACCAGCTGACCCCTAGTAGCCACAATGAGTAAAAAAACAAATGTCGCTGGAGAGCTTCTTTGAAAAGGGGGAAAGACAAAATTAAGAACCCCCCCCCCCGGTCCGTGAAAAAACTTGTCTTCCACGAAACCGGTCCCTGGTGCCAAAAAGGTTGGGGACCGCTGATGTAGACTGTAGCAGTGGTTATTAAGCTGGGTGAGTGTACTAGCAGTCTATAATGTAGACTGTAACAATGGTTATTAAGATGGGTGAGTGTACTGGCAGTCTATAATGTAGACTGTTGCCTGGTTCTTACGTTTGGTGAGTGTACTGGCAGTCTATCATTTAGACTGTAACAATGGTTATTAAGATGGGTGAGTGTACTGGCAGTCTATAATGTAGACTGTTGCCTGGTTCTTAACCTCGGTGAGTGTACTGGCAGTCTATAATGTAGACTGTAGCCTGGTTATTCAGCTGGGTGAGTGTACTAGCAGTCTATAATGTAGACTGTAACAATGGTTATTAAGATGGGTGAGTGTACTGGCAGTCTATAATGTAGACTGTAGCCTGGTTATTCAGCTGGGTGAGTGTACTAGCAGTCTATAATGTAGACTGTAACAATGGTTATTAAGATGGGTGAGTGTACTGGCAGTCTATAATGTAGACTGTAGCAGTGGTTATTAAGCTGGGTGAGTGTACTAGCAGTCTATAATGTAGACTGTAACAATGGTTATTAAGATGGGTGAGTGTACTGGCAGTCTATAATGTAGACTGTTGCCTGGTTCTTACGTTTGGTGAGTGTACTGGCAGTCTATCATTTAGACTGTAACAATGGTTATTAAGATGGGTGAGTGTACTGGCAGTCTATAATGTAGACTGTTGCCTGGTTCTTAACCTCGGTGAGTGTACTGGCAGTCTATAATGTAGACTGTGGCCTGGTTATTACGTTTGGTGAGTGTACTGGCAGTCTATCATTTAGACTGTAGCAATGGTCATTAAGCTGGGTGAGTGTACTTGCAGTCTATAATGTAGACTGTTGCCTGGTTCTTAACCTCGGTGAGTGTACTGGCAGTCTATAATGTAGACTATAGCCTGGCTCTTAACCTCGGTGAGTGTACTGGCAGTATATAATGTAGACTGTAACAATCATTTTTAAGCTGGGTGAGCATATTGGCAGTCTATAATGTAGGCTGTAGAAATGGTTCATAAACTGAGTCAACGTACTGGCAGTCTATAATGTATACTGTAGCCCGATTCTTAACCGGAATGAGCGTACTGACAGTCTATATGTAGGCTTATTGTTGGTTCTTAATACCCATTGATACAGTCTACATTATAGACTGCCAGTACACTCACTCCGATTAAAAACCAGGCTACAGTCTACATTTATTTTATTATAATTTTTTATTCACTTATTAATTATAATTTTTCTATCTATGTGACTTTACCGAAAGAACCAAATGTTATTAGAGTTAGTATAGCTACTACTACAGCCAGTACATACTGCTAGAGAGTTAAAACTTGATTTGAAACTTTCGTGATTGCAGGAATTACTCTTTGGCTCTTTCGGTAAAGTCACGTAGAAAGAAAATAAATTAAATCATAGAGTACGACGTTTCGATTGCAACACAAGCAACCGTCATCAGGTAGAACTAAATATGAGAGAGAGACAAAACACAGACACGGAGACACACAGATAGACACACAAGCAGAGAGAGGCAACACAGAGACACACAGAGAGAGACACACAACATAGACACACAGAGACCCAATGCCTCTGTGTCGAGGCCTTAAATAGAGAGAGAGGGGGGGGGGTCTACTGGGGCAGCTGCTGGAGTAGAGAAATTAGCATGTCACTGAATCCACCCCGAAACGACCGAGGGAAAAAAGATCGAATGGCCCTATGATAGCCTGGTAAATTTTTGAGAGAGAAATGGTTTGAGAAAACAAAATGTAGCAAATCTTTTGGAAATGTAATGTAATGCAACACAGAGAGTCGGCTAACACACAGTTAACGCATAGCCTGGTTGATTACGATCTCCAAAGATTGCTAAAATTAAAATTTAAGTGTGATATTTGATAAACAGAGACACACAGAGAAATGTGTGGAAATCCACCCCAAAGCGGCTGGGGGAGAGAAAGAGCCAGTACATACTACTGTAGTGATAGTAGATACTGCTATCGAGTCGGTAGATACTACTATAGAGTTATTAGATATTACTAAAGTCAGTATATACTACTGTAGAGTTAGTAGCTACTGCTATAGAGTCCATATACATTATTATAGAGTCGGTAGATACTACTGCAGTCAGTAGAAACTACTGTAGAGTCACTAGATACTACTATAGTCAGTAGTTACGACTATAGAGTCAGTATATACTACTGTAGAGTCGGTAGATACTACTGTAAAGTTGGGAGATACGACTGCAGAGTTACCAGAGGCTACGGTAGAGTAAGTAGATACTCCTATAGTAAGCAGATACTACTATAGTCAGTGGATACTACTATAGAGTCAATAGATACTATAGATTCAGTAGATACTACTATAGAGTCGGCAGATACTACTATACAGTCAGTAGATACTACTACAGTCAAGAGATACCACTACGGTCAGTAAATACTGCTCCAGTTAGTAGATACTATACAATCCATAGATACTACTACGGTCAGTAGACACTACTATAGAGTCAGCAGATACTCCTGTATAGTTAGTAGATACTACTACTGGCAGTATATACTACGGTCAGTAAATACTACTACAGTCAGTAGATACTACTGTAGAGCCAGTATTTACTACTATAAAGTCGGAAGATACCACTATAGAGTGAGCAGATACTATCGTCAGCAGATACTACTATAGAGTCAGTACATACTACTGTAGGGTCAATAGATACTACTATACAGTCAATAGACACTACTGTAGAGCCAGATACTACTGTACAGCCAGATACTACTATAGAGTCACTAGATTCTACTCTATTGTATGGAGGGTGTGTAGGTATATATGCCTATGGAGGGGTACAAATGTTTTTTTTTAGGAGAGGGGGGGAGGTCAACAATTTTAGGAAACTTTCTAGATCAACTATTTATTCGCCACTTTCTATTACTTTTGGATTCAGGACTTCTTCAAGCCTCTTATAATTTTGTTGATGGACAAATGGACAAACGGAACGCCGGGCTTTCACAATAGCTTAGTGCTTGTGTATGTATATGTTATATTTTTAAGAGAAGTTTTGAAATATATATTTTTTTATCCCGGGCAACGCCGGGTACTTCCCGCTAGTATTATATAAAGTGTACAAGATATGCAGTTAAAATGTAACGTGCCTTTTTTGCCCGTCCAAGGACGGGTGTATCGCAGTGAATCTGAAACTTGCAAGCGAAAAGCACAGACCCGCGGACGTGATATTCATTGCATCAATCGCGTCCCTGTGGCTCGACCATTCGTAGGATGCAGTATGCATCGTAAATGTACTCTTAGCTTCTACAGAAGAATACACGTGCCGTCTTGTCTCCATCTTATCTCCTACGCAGCCCATCGTGGGTCGCAGCTCATAAGTTGTTGCCAGCCCAGCGAGGAGGCGATTTCTTTGGACTTACATTATTTTTCCGATTCATATTTTACGTGAAAAAAAATACTTCCCGTTTCATGTTTGGGTTAAACTAGGGCAACATGAAACAAAAGGAGGGGATGTCTTATAACGCAGCGTGAGCCAAAGCTTCTATTTCCCCTTTGAGTTTGCGGAGCGTGGATTTGCCAATTGCGGCTATTTTCAATAACGTAACCCCCGCGATGGCTTTTTCCGATTAAAAAAAACTTTAATGATAGTGTTTAATTGCCAATCGTGTTCAAACAATTATACAGATATGGATGGGCATTGGTATGAGTAAGCTTCTTGGTACGTCTGATATGGTAGATGATTTCAAGTGTCATTCAGTTTTGTAAAACCATACACATTGGCATCTCCTGGAATGGACAGAGTCCACTTCAAACGTACAGTATTTGCATCAATAACACGCATTTTTTTGACAGTTACTGCTTGATCAAAGATTGACGTCGTATCAAATTCCCCAGGAAGAAAACATTCAGGGCTCACCGTGGACACTCAGTACAGCTGCCAGGACGGTTATCATATGTAAAAAATGCCACACCATATTTCGACTGGTATCCCAACTGCGACACAGGAAGGGAGGAAGACGAAACGAAACACATGACATTTTTTACATGCGCACAATGCATCTGTCAAACATGATCAGTTATACATTTACGCACGTCAAAATACCGGAGGAAACGCCGTCACCACAATTTTGTGAATTCACTTCACTGCAGCGTACCTGACAAACTTAAGAGCTCCCCGATGTTTTCAGCGGAACGGAAACAGCCCCCTACGTAGTAAGAAGTGGTGGGGCACGTTACACAATGCGTACACACACGAACAGAGATAACGCAACACACCAGCGCAGCACTTCATGACAAACGTACAAATGATAAAGTCTTACCGGCGTCTGAGTTGTACACGTCTTTCCCGACCACACGCATACACTTAATTACTCTTGTGGAGCAAATTCATTGTCATACATCATCCAGTAGCTTAGGCAGGCCTGAAAATGATGGTGACAAGTAATAACACCTTCAAGCAGTGCCACTGACTCTTCGCTGTGTATGGAATTGAATTGAGGAAGTCCAAACAATGCAGTCATACCCAACAAACCGGTTTTGACCACGACAATATTTCTTACAGTTAAATGTCAGTGGTTGTGTACCTCTGTCCGAATTTTTTTTTTTACAGAAAACGCAATAAAATATTTAAGAGATGGCAACCCCGCCTTCATTCCTGGACTACCTTTGCCAACATGGGTCCATAACTAAGTTGACAAAAGCAAAATCACGATTATGAATGAAAGCGATGCAGTTGTAAAGAATAAAATTGTTCCACCCCAAAGTAAATAGTGTAAAAACAATTAGTTGGCATGTTTCGCAGAGCAAAGTCGTGCTGCACGCCAGCATTCTATTATAAAATCCCGGCGTTCCGTGGGTGTCAACTAAATGATGAGCCTTTCAGAAGGCCTGAATCAAAAAGTTATAGAAAGTGCACCCTCCCCCCCCAAAAAAAGATATTCATTTTGTGTAGGCATAAGTGCCTACACACCATACATATGTAGTGACATCACGGGTGTCACAGTAATGCCGGCTCTAGAGAGGCACGGCACGCGATGTATTGCCATCGCGTGCACCACGTGGATGTGGGTGCAGTACCGGTCCTGGAGGGGCTTGGTGAGCGCTGACTGTGCTGGAGGGCACCACGCTCTGCGTGCAGTGCCGCCCCCTACAGGATAGGGTGTGAGACTGTCGGCCATGGGAATGGGGTTAACTCAGGGCCATGGCACTCTGGTTGACCCCGAAGGACACGTGACCGGTAAAGTCTACACAGGGGCCCCCAGGTGGGGGTTAGGGGTGGTCACGTGTCAGGGCCGAGATCCTGCTCGAGGGTTCTCGAAGGTGGTCGTGGCTAAGGGCGGAGCCAGCCGTTGTTATCCTGAAGCAGATCTACGTTCTACGTCCGAGAAGAGTCACCAACACGTGGACCTGGACCCATGTCAGTGAAGAAATTGCATTTAGGAACCTGAATGTAAAGATATTTACTTGAGTGTTATTTATTTATAAAAAGGAGTTTATCTGGGTGATTGTTTCTTGTCACATGCCAACACTCCCAATGCCAAATTTTCCAATATCCCAATGGAGTATGCCCTGAAATATGGTGTGAGGTTTTTATGGGGGAAGTTCTTAATGTTTTGGCTTGTGCAATGTGGACATCCGTCAAAAGTTTTGTAACAGAAGTTTTCTATGGTTTGTGCGACAATTTTCATTATTACTCCATGGTGGAGACGGTACAACGCGTCACGTGCAGAAAGCATTTGACCGATTTTGAGGCCAACAATTGGTTGGCCCCTGCAAACATGACATTGAGAAATAATACATTCTCTTAAAGCCAAAATATACGTATACATTTGTTATCAATGGAAAATTTCAGTTGGAAGCTTGTACTTGTATCTACTTTCAGATTTATTCTCTTTCCAAAATAACTTCGGTCTCAAAGACAGTTATTGTCGTATAAATTGTCAAGCATGTTTTGATACGTAAAACACTATTCAGGATTCATAATAAAGGTTTTTGGGTTAGATCGCGTTTATTTATAAATGTGTCGTAACCCTCCACCACCCGACACGGCCAATCAGCAAAAAAAAGGTGTCACGTTGACAAAAGACAAATAATTCACTACTTCAGCCCACCGGTGTGTTGAAGAGTTAATCCACATTTACAGTTTGAGTACGACGTTTCGCTGGTAAATACTTCCAGCATCATCGGGCGAATTGCCCGATGATGCTCGTACTCAAACTGTAAATGTGGATTAACTCTTCAACACACCGGTGGGCTGAAGTAGTGAATTATTTGTCTTTTGTCAACGTGACACCTTTTTTTGCTGATTGGCCGTGTCGGGTGGTGGAGGGTTACGACACATTTATAAATAAACGCGATCTAACCCAAAAACCTTTATTATGAATAATATTGGTCGCGAAAGCCTACGTGTTAAACTGACTATTCAGGATATAAACAAATACAACTTTCGTTAGTGCCTTAACAAAACATAAAACAAATTAAGTAACATTTTTTCTCTCACGATTTTACGTACTGTATTAGGTTGTAGGAAAATTACTTTTTTTTAAATAACGCCATTTGACAATGGGTTGTAATGAAAAAAAGCACCTCTAACTTTGCATCACAAATCAAATCTGTCCAAAACCAAAGTAACTTGCGTCTCAAAACCTACTGTTTAATTCTCAACCGCGGACTTTTTGTGCAAAAAAAGTACACACATGGCCTGGAGATTTCTGGACGCGAAAGAAACATTTCCAAATAACTTGCATTACCGCCTCCGCCGGAAACCTGCAAAACAACGATCTAACTCTTTCGCGGATTAGGTTTTAAACAATACGAACAAACAAAAACAACTACACATCAATGGGTTTACAATTATAATATTCAGCTCTTTGTCAATGCAAAGTATTGTTCGTAAGTAGGTTTACCTATAGCAGCGGCGACGCGAAACCTCAACATCAGCGAGGGGATGACGACATAGAGGTCATTAAGGGGCGCAAGTGCGCAGATTTGTTCACCGCGTGTCGCCACCCAATGCTTTGGAGTGCGCACGTGACGCCAAGCGTGCACACGACCCGACGGGAGGTTTTACCTCTAATTACGATCGCTTGCCAGACCAAAAGTTGTTTTGTGTGCCCCCTACTAGATGGGGAGTCTTTGGCAGCACAGGGGATTTTACCGCGAAGGTGTAAGCAATTGCCAGACCAAAGGTGTTTTTTTTCCTTCGCGAATTTTGTTTTTTAAACAGCACAGAGTTTGTTTTACCTTCAGATGTAAGCATTTGTCACAGTATTTAAGAATGGTTGGCCAAATATCTGATGTTATTGTCGAGCCTTCGGTAAAATATTACAATTATCAATGAAATCCGAGTGGAAGATTTTAGAACATATTAGCCAATGTTGCGGTGCGTGTGTGCACGAACACATTTGCATGCAAATGTGAATACAGTAGTTACCAGCGCATAGGTTTTACCTCGACTGTATGTGTCAGCAATTTCCAGGCTAAAGTTTGTTTTAAAATCTCCGTTATGTTAATATTTATGGAGTTTTTTTGTTTGCATTTTGATCACAAGTATTGTGGTTAATGCAGAAATGATTCCTTGTAAAAGGTTTCAGTTTGGTGTTTTAACATCTTAACACCTGTTTTGTTGCCAGAAAAAAGGTGGAAACCCTATTTTCATTTATGGAGTATATTTTAACAAAACGGAGGTGTTTACCTCCAGATGTAAGAATTTGTCATCGTAGAAGCATAATATATTGAATTATTGTGAGCCAAGTGTCTGATGTTATTGCCGCTTCTCTCAAACACTGTCTTTGTAATGGCCAAAGCTTAATTGCTGTATATTTATACGTAGATCGTTTTTTGTTATGCCAATAGATAAAATATGACAACTATCAATGAAATGTTAGCGGTCGATTTGTAACACTCATATTGCAAGCGTTGTAATGTTTATGTGCATGAAAACAATTGTCAGAGCACCAATAAAACAATTTACAATACTACGTGGATTTATATAGCCGTCCTAATGTGCCCGCAACTTGTACATAACAACGGAGGCAATTCCAGTGGCGAAGTAATGACATTATCAGTGGCGTAATAACTACACTACCAGTGGCATAGTAACGACATGGGATACGGCAATCGATCAAGTGGAGCCCCAATATTTGATTCGTCTCGCACGGTCGCACCTTAGGCTATTATACATCGCGGCTCCTCTTGCCTAAGCACATCATTACGCTCACGGGCTCGAACATTTAACGCAATAGGGGCGCTCCGTCTTGGCGAACCACTTATAGCCCTGTGTGTCTACCCGGTTACACGCTATGATGACAACGTAGGAAAAAAAACGTGATGGGTAATTTGCTCTACATCAATTTAAATAAAACGTGGAACGTAAAGGAAAGCTTTTTAAAACTAAAATTTAAACCGCGTGCTAAATAAGCTCTTGTTCTTTTACACTGTTACTCTTTAGTTCTTTCGGTAAAGTCACGTAGAAAGAAAATAAATTAAATAATAGCATATGACGTTTTGATTGCAACACAAGCAATCATCAGGTACAATATGAAGGGGAAAACAAACCTAAACATAGAAATATAATGCAATACAACACAGAGAGTCGGCTGACATAACAGTCAACACCCCACCTGGTTGATTACGTTCTTCCAAAGATTGCCAAATTTGAGAGAGACGAAACACAGACACTGTTGTTGAATTAATATCTCATGGTGGTTCAGGGAAGTCCCAGCTCGTAGCTTTGGCCACTACGGGGGGGTGGGGGCAAGGCACCCCGTGCCTGCCACCCACGCTCGTTACGCACATTAATTTTGGTAACGAGGAGTGGTGCGCTCAGTCAGTCAAAGGCAAGAGGGTAATAGGACGTTCTTGATGAGCCTGGACTGGTACAGGGAGCAGAAAGCACGGATGGCTGGGGGAAGGACTTATTTTCGAGTTGAACTGGAAGTAATATAGCACGGTTGGCTATGTACGGTGCGAAAGAAGTTAATTATACGGTACATACCTCAACATACAGTGAGGGAAAAAAGTATTTGATCCCCTGCTGATTTTGTACGTTTGCCCACTGACAAATAAATGATCAGTCTATAATTTTAATGGTAGCTTTATTTGAACAGTGAGAGACAGAATAACAACAACAAAATCCAGAAAAACGCATGTCAAAAATGTTATAAATTGGTTTGCATTTTAATGAGGGAAATAAGTATTTGACCCCTCTGCAAAACATGAGTTAGTACTTGGTGGCAAAACCCTTGTTGGCAATCACAGTGGTCAGACGTTTCTTGTAGTTGGCCACCAGGTTTGCACACATCTCAGGAGGGATTTTGTCCCACTCCTCTTTGCAGATCTTCTCCAAGTCATTAAGGTTTCGAGGCTGACGTTTGGCAACTCGAACCTTCAGCTCCCTCCACAGATCTATGGGATTAAGGTCTGGAGACTGGCTAGGCCACTCCAGGACCTTAATGTGCTTCTTCTTGAGACACTCCTTTGTTGCCTTGGCCGTATGTGTTGGGTCATTGTCATGCTGGAATACCCATCCACGACCCATTTTCAATGCCCTGGCTGAGGGAAGGAGGTGCTCACCCAAGATTTGACGGTACATGGCCCCGTCCATCGTCCCTTTGATGCGGTGAAGTTGTCCTGTCCCCTTAACAGAAAAACACCCCCAAAGCATAATGTTTCCACCTCCATGTTTGACGATGGGGATGGTGTTCTTGGGGTCATAGGCAGCATTCCTCCTCCTCCAAACACGGCGAGTTAAGTTCATACCAAAGAGCTCCATTTTGGTCTCATCTGACCACAACACTTTCACCCAGTTGTCCTCTGAAATCATTCAGATGTTCATTGGCAAACTTCAGACGGGCATGTATATGTGCTTTCTTGATCAGGGGGACCTTGCGGGCGCTGCAGGATTTCAGTCCTTCATGGCGTAGTGTGTTACCAATTGTTTTCTTGGTGGCTATGGTCCCAGCTGCCTTGAGATCATTGACAAGATCCTCCCGTGTAGTTCTGGGCTGATTCCTCACCGTTCTCATGATCATTGCAACTCCACGAGGTGAGATCTTGCATAGAGCCCCAGGCCGAGGGAGATTGACAGTTCTTTTGTGTTTCTTCCATTTGCGAATAATCGCACCAACTGTTGTCACCTTTTCACCAAGCTGCTTGGCAATGGTCTTGTAGCCCATTCCAGCCTTGTGTAGGTCTACAATCTTGTCCCTGACATCCTTGGAGAGCTCATTGCTCTTGGCCATGGTGGAGAGTTTGGAATCTGATTGATTGTTTCTGTGGACAAGTGTCTTTTATACAGGTAACAAGCTGAGATTAGGAACACTTCCTTTAAGAGTGTGCTCCTAATCTCAGCTCGTTACCTGTATAAAAGACACCTGGGAGCCAGAAATCTTTCTGTTTGAGAGGGGGTCAAATACTTATTTTCCCTCATTAAAATTCAAATCAATTTATAAAATTTATGACATGCGTATTTCTGGATTTTGTTGTTGTTATTCTGTCTCTCACTGTTCAAATAAACCTACCATTAAAGTTATAGACTGATAATTTATTTGTCAGTGGGCAAACGTACAAAAGCAGCAGGGGATCAAATACTTTTTTTCCCTCACTGTAACAGCCACACATACACACACCGTATGTCTTTGAATAAAACAAGTGCGGAAACCGTCCAGCAGTTGCAAAGGAAGCATGCCGTAATATTCGTAAAGTTGAATTGCTTAATTGGTTTATTGGGCTATTATAATTATTTTCTGAATGATTGAAACAACAATTGCATTTAGGGCCGTCTATAAATGACGTCACGCACCTTGGGGGGGGTGTCAGGAATTTGTGACGAGGGGGTGGTGAGAAATGTGACGTCACATCAAAATGTGCAACTTTAAATAAATATAAACACGTTCTACTTCATTAAATAGACTTTTTTTTATACATGTATTCTCCTACAACATCAGAGTGCAGCGCCACATTAAATACCCACTACAATGACAATAGTTTTAAGCGATTTGAAGCATTTTTTTATGTGGGGGGGGGGGGCAAAGCTTTGTGACGTCATATTTGAGGGGGGTCTGACTTTTTGTGACGCCGTGTGACGAGGGGGGGGGGGATAAAAAAAATCGTCAAAATCGCGTGACGTCATTTATGGACGGCTTCTTTCTGAAATATTCTTGAAGACAATGACAATTCGACTGAGACCCACGCCTCTCCGATCCCACTGGTACGTTAGAGTATCAACAAAGCGCAAATGGACTCTCCACATTGCTCCTTTTCTTTATTTTTTAAATGTTTATTCTCCAAGATAATGTCCAACTTGATTTAAATTTACGTATGAAACAAACAAACAAAAACTACCCTCGTCTAGACAACTTTAAAAAGTATAGACAACTTAAAAAAGATTTGAGATTTCAGAATTTGTCCACACACAGAATCAAGTTGGTAATTTGAGTTGCTTTGCAACTTCTAAAAAAAATGCACCCAAAATGCACAAGTTGAGTATATTTTTCCTGCCCCATCAGCTCTCCCGCTATATTTTTTCACCTGATGACGATTGCTTGTGCTGCGATCGAAACGTCGTGATATTGTTATTTATATCTACGTGGCTTTACCGAAAGACCCAAAGAATAAAAGTTGAGCAACTTCTGAAGCCAACTTTCCAGCAGTTACCATGGTGAGTGGAACACAAGGGGGCAGCCTCAACCAGCGGATGAATGGATCCCGGGACGTGGCTCTCATGGTGATGTGGGGCCTCCACTTTCATTGCCCGGCAGAAACGGCCTGATGATGATGATGATTTCAGCCCGTTACGGAGAGTCTAAAGCAGATAGATGCAACATCGCTTGCTCCCCTTTCATTAACGCGAAATCACCGAGGGTTGTGTCATAGCCCGTGAAACCCCCCTAAGCCACACACGCGGACACACGTACGTAGACACACAGAGACAGAGATTCCCCGTAAAGCCTTAGCAGATTTTTGGGGCAAGTGGTGTTAGCGAGCACCAATGCTGGGGGGTGGATTGCCAGCACTACGTCCGGCTGCTTTGCCTCCTTAGTGGCGATGTTTACACACCGCACCGGGTACTCGTTTGAGGCTGAGTCGACCTTGGGGTAGTCCCAGGTTCGGTTCGGATAATCGTCACTGGTGTTGGTGGCCGTGAGTGGGATTGGAACTCAGTTCGCCGGGTTCGTAGGGTAGCAGCGCTAACCCGTTTAGAGGATCGCTCCGTACCGCGTACGTTGACACACACACACGTTCATACACACACACGCATATACACAACACACAGGCTCATACACACACAGGTTCATACACACACACGCTCACACACACACGTTCATACACACGCACGCTCATACACACGCACGCTCATATACACACACACGCTCATACACACACACACACACGCTCATACACACACACACACGCTCATACACACACGTTCATATACACACGTTCATATACACACGTTCATATACACACACGTTCATATACACACACACACGCTCATACACACACACACGCTCATACACACACACGCTCATACACACACGCTCATACACACACACGTTCATACACACACGTTCATATACACACACACGCTCACACACGCTCATACACACGCACACACACGCTCATACACACACGTTCATATACACACACGTTCATATACACACACGCTCATACACACACACGCTCATACACACACACACGCTCATACACACACACGCTCATACACACACGCTCATACACACACACGTTCATACACACACACACGTTCATATACACACACACGCTCATACACACACACACGCTGATACACACACACGCACACACAATGCTGCCATCAGCTGTTTTGCATGAACGTTAACTCACAATAACAAATACACGTTCGAACTAACACACACACGGGCGCGCAAACCCAGACACAAACACACTACGACTACTACTACCACCACCGCACACCTGTACCCGCACACCACACACACAGACACGCGCCCATTCACAGGCTTAAACACAAACACGCGCGCACACGAACACGTACACACATACACTCACACGCAAGTCCAAACACACACGCGCACACACACGCACGTACGGCTGCAGCTTCAGAACTCCGAGTGCCGCTTGAAAGCCAGTTGCCTGGATGCCAGGCTGAATAATCATCGCGCAGACTTGTCGGATACACATAGTTGGCACAATCTTCAGCCGTGCAGCAGTCTGTGGGTGCTCCCGGCGTGTTCCAAGGTAAGGGATGGATGGCATGCACGCGTACAGCGACATCGGACGCGGTTTACTCAGTCCAGACCCTTAATGATTGCCACTGCTGGGGTCTCGTTCACTGCTCGCTAAATTCATTGGCGGGACCTTCTTGTGTACTGGGTACGTGAGGTTTTTTTATGCTCATAATAGAGGTTTGTGTCGCGTGAATCAAAATGTGTCGTTAAACCCGCCACCACCCGGCACAGACAATTAGTAAGGTTTGTCACGTAAACAGAACGTGCCAATCTCGTTACTAGTGCAGCCCACCGGTGTGTTGGAGAGCAAACCCACAACATTCATGTTGTTTTTAAATGAACAACGTCGTAACTGTCTGAACAGAAACAGGTTTTCAAGTGCCGGATATTTTGATGATAGGCAACGTTTTTCACATACAAGCACGGTGAAGGACTTGATACGAACGAAAGCGTTGTGCGTGTTTATTCTAGGAGTTCGCGCTACACGGGAGATGCCTGGTGTTGTCTCTTAACACATCTTACCTATCTGAAGACATCTCGAACTGACAAGAGGTAATACCGACGACATGTTTTGTATAAAACATTCACAAAACACAAACAACTGACATCCTAATGCAAGCCCACACACCGTGTTTAACTCTTAATTATAATCTGTGGACGGATTATTCGGGTTGCTCATTAACCGCTGCTCATCACTCATCAAACGCCAGTGACTCAGCGCCCATCTGTGCACATATCTACAAGTAAACAAATAACTTTAATAAGCAATAAAAAATACACGTTACATTCTACGTATTCACCCAATTCTACATACGCAGAAATATGTACGAATGTGTTTCGAAAAAATATATATTTTTGTGTGCTATGGGGGTCACGCGTCTGTCTCATTACCCGAGATAATCGAGACTTTACTGGGCATGTATGAGTTTGAGAACTAAAATCTTGAATTTTAGGGAGGAAGCGGCAATGTCGCTGGCTTTGAGGCCTGCCCCACGCGTGGGTCTGGTCTTCAGGAGCCAGTCGTTCGCAGGCTTCAGCTCGACACGAGACAAGACACCCTGGTGAGACTGGCACAGGGCTCATAGAGCGACACATCGCCCAGAACAGAATGCCGTAAACAACAAAGACCCGTATTGCTGTCTGATGGTTTTTCTGGTTGAATTGCGCTTTGTTTTTCCGCATGGTGTCCTGTGTGTGTTTTTTTTCCTCCACATGCCTGGAGCTTCTTGAGGAACTGACCTGAGCTAGTTCACTTTCCTCCTCGATTATTAAGTTCCGGCAGTGGCCGGTCAATGCTTTATACTCGAGGGAGGAAAATGAGCAGCTCAAATCAGTCCCTAAAGAAGCTCCCAGCATGTGGAGGCAAAATGTAGAACATCATGCGTGGTACAGTTTGAAAAAAACATAAAAGAAGCCATACAGCACAACCGCGAAAACGTAATGAGATGTATGTCTGTTGGCTAAAAACACATACTAGCATAATCATATGCACATAAAAAACATGTGTATATGGCAGGTATAATAAAATGTCATGGAATTAGTGGAAGCAGTGTCAATATTATGCACTGATATCATTAACACATGCATTAAGAGGACGGAAGAATGAGGGTAAATGTGAGATAAAAACTACTTTATTAAAAGTCTTTTCTCACTTGTTGAAATGCTTTAATTTTTGTAACATGAATTACACTTTTTTACTGCAGAATTTCAATGTTGGTTCGATTTACATGCTATGGAGCCTCGCTTGCCAAAAATAACATCGGTCTCCTTCAATAACATGCGCTCCCCGCATCTCCGATGAGCACGGTTGGCTATGTACGGTGCGAAAGAAGTTCAACATACATATATTTATTTATGTATAAGTTGAATGCACAGCATGGGGTCACTCCATGCCAAACTTGCCTCATAATGAATCTAACCAGTTTATTTCAAAACTGCCTTATGTGCTCTCAATGTCATGATTATGAATATCTTATTAGAGTCATAACTTACAGTTTTATGTCAGTCCACTGCTAGTTGAAGGCCTCCCGTGTGGGATGCCAAACAAAATATATATTAATAATATCATTTTGTCCAACTATTAATACAAGTAATAGACAATAATTATAAAAATAATAATGAAAACATGATTAAAGAGGTCATGACAAACAACGGAAACACGAAACAGCAAAAAGAAAGTTTATAATTGGTAAATTACAAATGATCATAAATGTCTTCAGTGAGCTAAAGGATGCCATAAATCACGATACATAAAGAATCTTGAAACTAGTCAAGGAATTTTGTGCAGGTTCCCAAAGCAAAGAATATAATATACCACAGGAAATGTCATTTTTTTCGGATAAGGAGACAGATGTTCCAAATGTCACAGTTGAACCACTGCTCTTCACAGTATGATCAAGGGGGAAGCTGAACCAGAATAATTATGGACATCATCATCAAAGACGTTTGATAGCAATGAGCCGACCTGTTTACAAAATCTTTACACAGTAACGACATGCCTTTATAACAACGTGATGCCACGATAATTATTATATTTAAAAAGGGGTGACAACATTTATATGAAGAGATACAGATCCATTTTCTGAATATCATCAATATAATGTAAAAACTAATAATGGACATTGTATTTGGCAAAATAAAAAGCATATACCTATGGCAATTATTGAAGTTGAACCAGGATAAAAATGATGAAATAAAGAGGCAAGAGCAGGTTGGAATTATTTTGAAAACCTAAATTTGATCATGAAAAACAACATTAATATTTCAACATCAGAAAGTTTACAATCAGTGCATATGGCCTGTTATATAATATGAATCAGTAACAATGACAAAGAAAACAGTAAAAAGAGAAATGTACACAACCGTGAAGAGATTCATTTCTATTCTTGGTTCTTTCGGTAAAGTCATGTAGAAGGGAAATAATAAAATAATACAAATGAAACAATAAAATTATCACGACGTTTCGATTGCATCAGGTGTGAAAACCACAGCAATATATTTTCTTGCTGTGGTTTTCACACCTGATGATGATCGCTTGTGTTGCAATCGAAACGTCGTGAGAATTTTATTGTTTTATTTGTATTATTTTAATATTTCCCTTCTACGTGACTTTACCGAAAGAACCAAGAATAGGAATCCCTGCAGTCACGAAAGCTTTAAATCGAGATTCATTCCTGTTTGAGGATTGCACTGAGACAGCAGCAGAAACAGAGGGATCAGAGAACAAACGTAAACTAGAGACATCATCTTGACTGTTTAGAAAAGTATGTGGGTTTGGGCAGGTCAATTGGCTCGAAGGGATGATGCCTGATGCACGAGGCCGGTGATGGAATAGCAGCCAAGGCAGGGAGCATGACCGACAGGATGACCAACACGGAGATAAAGCGAATAAATTATCTCATGATGTGCAGGCGGGAGATGGATTTTAGCATCCCAAGACCGCGAGGGATGGTGACAATGTGGGGAGACATTCATGCAGCAGTGACCGATGTTATCCGTGAGCAGGAATTTGACTCAGTGTGCCAGGCTCAGAGTGCAGTGCACTAACCACTGTGCCACTGTTGACCCCTGCGTGCTACAGCAGCGTGGAATTGTCAGCACGTTCCATGTAACTATAACGGAATAGAGCAAAGATACAGTGGCACAATGCTGCTGGATGGTATCACAATTGCCACAACGAAATCTAGGCACGCTAACAAATGTTAAATAATAACTTTATCGCTGAAATAAGTAATTATTATACAACGGTCACACAGGTCTGACTTTTAATAACAAATGGTCAATGTGCGGGAACTCTCAACTGGATAAAAAAGAATTATATTGATATATAAATAATGCATAGGCATGAGGGCAAATTGATTGTTTTAAACCAAAGGCTTGTACAAGGGCTTACCACTTGAGATGCAGCTTATATGTATATGTTATTGAATGTGTCTCTTATTGATTGTAAGAGTAAAAGCTTGGCTGCATCGTGATTAAATTGTTAAATGTTTCACTGTGGGAAATAAATACAGTATAAGATAATTATGAATCATTTTTACGACATCTATATTTACTAGAAGGTGAAGTGCATAGTTTTAAATTATGTTCTCACAGTTTAATTAGATTTGTGTGTGCTTTTGTGCTGATAACCCACAGTAGATAGCTACAATTATATTTAATGACTACTCAAAATTGCGCCAAATAAATCAGCACACAAGGAATATATTTAGTATTTAGTCTGAAGTTCATTCAATTACGGATCGCATTAACCTTGGAATGTACTGCTGATATTACAACGGGGAGGTCAGTGTATCTCAAAGTACATTGAAGTACCATCTCGTGTTTACGATTTACTGTTCAAGTGACGTGCCTCACGCCCCTCCCTGCACAGCCCCATGGCTCGGTCGAAACAAGGCCACTCGGATATTTAGGCTAAGCGCAGCTTGTTTAGCATTCCAATTGTTTGTGTTTATGTCGGGTCAAGCCACAGGCACAACCCAAGCACTTTACAGGCACAGCTTGCCCTCTTTAGAAATCACACGTAATGAGATTATTTAAACCTTCTCATTTGAGACACTCGTCTCCGGCAGTGGTGTAACGCATTAAGTTAGCTGGGTGCCCGGCTTTGTATCATACATTCCTTCCCTATACTTATTTAATCACCACCCAGACCTGATGTCAAACACTCCATAGTTATTAACCTTGGTTATATCGGTTTCGGTTTTTTTATTTGATGTACAAACTGTAAACCTAAGTCAGCGTTAAGACGAATGTGCTTATGGATGCTGTGGCTGGAATGACCATATTATGTATTTGATTTATCACAGTGCAATACTATTGCATTTTAAAACAGTGTACATTTTTACGGGCCCCTAAAGATCATAGGCCTGGGCTGTAGCCTCTGAGGCGCTTGTGAAGCGTAGCGTACGAGAGCAATCAGCCCTCAAGTGGGCAGCTCTGAAACACGTCCGAGGGTTTTTCCCAATTGCCCTGCTGGCTCGAGAGCATCGCATCATGGAGAGCCTTGCCTCGTGTGCTATGCCAACGGTCACTCGGTGGTGCGCTGTCCAGGCCACGCTCGCCGTACGGCAGCACGCCTGTGCAGGCGCGCCGATCGCCGACCCGGAGCGTCAAGGGGTCATCCGCGTCGGGCAAGCCACCCGGAGGGGCCCTGCGAACACCACGGCCACAGCAAGCTGAGCACATCTACGTGTCACTGAGAAGAGGGCTCGGGTATGGCTGAAGTCAAGAATGGTGGCCAAAGCAATACATAACCACAGCATTGTACATGTAAAGCCCCTTTGTTAATATTCGGCTAGATGAGGGCTGTCCCACGCCATGTCGGTCGTAGGGGTTATTCACCCATGCTTTGTCATACTCGCCAGTGGGGCTTGGTGAAGGTTGGTAGAATAGATGCGGGAGCATATAAATGTATTTTTGTAAGTGTCAATGTAAGCTATCAATGGCATGGGGTATGTGGACGAATTACACATCAAACCAAGCTCAGGAAATCGAGATCCACATTGATGAACTTACTCAACCTGAATGGGATTTGGCAGTATATGCTTGAATATCGGAGGCAAAACATTAAAGCTGGGGACAATAGCCATATATTATATGGTATCAAAAAATTATTGAGAGTAAAGGAAGTCTTTGGCAGATATGATGGAGGTAATACAGAAAATCTTGGGCTATTAAGATGGAATAGAATTAGCTGTAGAAAATAAGTGCCTTACACAGGCAGGAGGTGGGTGGATGGTGACCAATGGAGAAAATGTACGTGTTCTCAGCTTGATTGCATATACTTGTCTTACAGTCAACTCCTGAAAGCTCATCACGATGAACTGGAAAGTCTGGTGGCCCAGCAGAAAGGAACCAAAAGAGACTCCAGAATGGTTTGACACCTCTGAGATACCATCTGTTTATGCCTCTTCTAATTTTCTTGATGCAATCAAAATTAAAATGCATACATATCCAAATAGTGAAGTGTATTGTTTTAACTTGTTAAATTGAGTGGCTGAAGGCCACTTCATAGATTAAATCAAATAACACCGCTGCTTTATATCACACATACTGTAATAGTATATGATCTCTTTCTTTTCACATGTTTACCAAAAACCCAGGCGTTTTTCTATGAACTGGACAAGGTATGTAAAAAGAGTGCTTTTCTGTGTGTGTATGTATGTAAGAATGGCATCACCTCACAGCATGAAAGTAATGGTTGTTACAATATACACATGAAGCTAAAATGCTTGAGATAATTTCAACCAGGGTCACTGTTTTTTGCACAGGTTCTTGTAAACGGTTTCACCTCTCATTTTTCACCTACAGCAACTCCGAGCGACCCAGCGCTATCTCAGGCACCTCGAGTTCCACATAAGCAAGGTACGATCTCGTGCGTGGCTATGTAAATCAAAATTATTTTCAGGGGGATCCCCAGTGCGTAATGAAATCTATAAACTGATAGTTTGGAAATTTGAGCATACAATGCTGCGCATTAATGTACTCTGGAAAAAAGATGAAGGTCATTTTCAGTTGAGCACAGTAAGCATTTAATAGTTTGAAAGCACATCCCTCCCCAATTTTTATTTTAACAGTTGTATGGAATTACTTAAGTTTGGTGTGCTATGAAAGGTCAATTCACAGAGATTCACAAACACAGCAGTCCCTATGCAGGGGAATTCCACTACACACAGGCCCTCTGTGCACTGCCCGTTTTGACCCAAAAAGACATTCATTTCCAGATGGAGCGCAAACTGACTCGCCGTTATGCTACAAACACACACATTCTGCAATATGGTTGGTGTGTGCTGATGCTGCGTTAGAAAGCAGCGATTTAAATACGCAGCATGCTGGGTAAACAGCCAAACTGTAACTTGACCTCTCTCATACTCTTTGGTTATTTCGGTAAAGTCACGTTGATAGAAAATTAATAGATCACGACGTTTCGATCGCAACACAAGCAACCGTCATCAGGTGAGACAAACACAGCAGGAGAACGCAGCAATTTTCCTGCGATTGAAAAGTCGTGATCTATTCATTTTCTATCTATGTGACTTTACCGAAAGAACCAAAGAGTATGGATTCCGGCAATCACGAAAGCTTCAAATCAAGATTGACTTCTCTCACTTAATTAAACTTAGTGAACTGACTTTATGTTTCAATACATTATACACTAATCAAGAATTGTTAATCTCATGATAATAGTGTTCTTTTGAATTATTCCCTTCTCATGGAACTACTAGTCTAAGGAAAATGTTGTGAATTGGTCAATTTTAAAATAATTTAACTAGAGCATTAGGCCCATGCTCCAAAGTGTCATTCCAAATTTTGTCATTCCAAATTTTATACCACAATGGTAGGTCCCATTTTTAAAAAAGAAAAATACCACAATTTTCTTTCACATGCGCAGAATTTCCAGCTAACAGTTCCATCCGACATTTAAATGTTTTCGTCACTATTTTCGGAAGCAGTTAATAATGTTCGTCTGTCATCTTACAGAAGAGTTGCTTGCTTGTTGAGCAACTCGATCTGTCATCCACAAATTCCATGTCAAACGACATCGTGTTTGTAAAAAAAAAAGCAGTGCCACTAAATAGGCATTTAACTGCTATTTAGTTCATATTCTTAGTTTTTTCGGTAAAGTCACGTTGAAGAGAAACAACAAAATAACAAAATATATATAAAACAATAAAAAATTCTCACGACGTTTCGACCATAACTCAAACGGTCATCATCAGGTGTGTCGGTTTGCATAAATTTATTTTGAAAACGGCATATTTATTTATATATATAAAAATAACGTTTGCGTCACGCGCAACGATGGCAGTTTGCCAGGACTAGTCCATCTATTTTTTGAAAAGAGGAGGGGGGAGACGAAATTTGTTCTTATGTATGCTGTCTGAAAGGCACTGTAAGCGTGAACAATCAATCAAGAACTGAAATGATTTATCAAATCTTTCCAATGATTGCTAAGATAGAATCCATCTTCTCGGTTGAAATTGTCTCTGTGTTTGTATATGTGGATAGCCTCATGAACGAATCTCTCATGGAAGCCAGATGGCTTACAAAGAACCTCTGTCTTGGAAAAGTCAATGGCATGTGAGCCTACTGAATTAGAACAATGATCTGCTACGGCCGAGGTGTTGGTCCTACCGTGTTTAAGGTCTGCTTTATGTTCACGATTGCGGTCCGAGATATGGCGTTTGGTTTCTCCAATGTAACTACTACCACAGAGGCAACTTAGTTTGTAGACACCAGGGTATTGTATGTCCGGAATCACATCTTTTACAGACGGAACCAGATCACGGATTTTATGTAATGTGTTGAAACGGACCTGGATCTTGTGTTTATTCAAGATTTTGGAGATCTTTTTTGTGATCCCAGCAATGTAGGGTAAAGTGATGGTTTTGAAAGGCTCCTCAAGAGGGTTCTTCTTCATGGTTTGAGTGATAGCTTTGCGGATTGTATAGTCGGAGTAACCATTAGCCCTAAGAGCTTGGTGTACGTGCTTGAGTTCACTGCTTATGTGTTCCTGGTCGGATATGCATTGGGCTCTATGATACAGAGTCTTGATGAGAGAATTCTTCTGTGATGGATGGTGGTGGGAATCCGGTTTCAGATAAGCATCCGTATGGGTAGCTTTCCTGTAGACAGAGTGGCTCATTGAACCATCAGGTCTCTTTTTAATTAGGACATCCAAAAAAGGTATCTTGCCATCTATTTCGACTTCCATGGTAAATCTGATGGCTGGGTGTATGGAATTGATGTGGTCGAAGAATTTGTCTAGAGCAGGCCGGCCATGTGGCCAGATGACAAAAGTGTCATCCACGTACCTCTTCCATAAGGTTGGGCGCAGAGTGGCAGTCTGGATGGCGTCAGTCTCAAATTTCTCCATGAAAATGTTAGCTATAACTGGAGAAAGGGGGGAGCCCATTGGGGTGCCCTCAGTTTGTTTGTAGAAAGTTCCATTCCAAGTGAAGTATGTATTGGTTAAACAGTGTCTCACCAGGGGGGGTACCTCAGTGTTTAGTCCTTGATGAACCAAGTCTTCAATGATTGCAATGGTGTCAGGTACAGGAACCTTGGTGAATAAGGAAACTACATCAAAACTGACAAGCAGGTCGTCTGGGGACAGGGAAATACCCTTGATTGTTGATACCAGGTGAGTAGAATTTTGTACCGCAGAGGTGGTCTTTCCAGTGAAAGGACGCAGGATTTCAGACAAAAAAACGAGCTAGTTTGTAGGTGGGGGAGCTGATAGTAGAGACTATGGGACGAAGAGGTGTATCAACTTTATGTATTTTTGGTAAGCCGTATAATCTTGGTGGCCTGGCAGCAGAAGGTTTCAACGAAAACTGTTTAGATTGATCAATTAATGCGGTTGAATCAGAAATTATTTTGTTGGTTTGTGTGACGAGGCTGTTGGTGGGATCTCTTTTTATTTTTGTATAACTACCATCGTCGAGTAATTCTTTAATTTTGTTGTTGTATTCTATTTTATCCATGATAACAGTAGCATTGCCTTTGTCAGCTGAGAGAACTACAATATCATTCCTCTTTTTTAATTTATATAATTCAAAACGCTCATCTTTGCTGAGGTTGCTAGCTGGCATCTTAGCGTTTTTGAGGGTTGCAGCGATTTCAGATCTTGCTACGTCTGCAGCGATGTGACCCAGGCCCCTGAGAGCAACGTCTACTTGGGCAATTATATCATTAACTGGTATGTGTTTAGGTGTGACTGCAAAGTTTAGACCTTTAGCTAAAACGGATTTCAGACCATCGGAAATAGAACTGTTACTGCGATTAATTACGACTTTATTAACATCTAACTTTTTGGTGTGTGGGTCCGGTCTTTTGTTTAAGAGGAGGTTAAATTTGGAAATCAGGTTTTCCTTACATTTGGTCGACATAGTAGCAGCTGAAGAGGCAGTCATATTGTCTACATGTTCCCAATCCGATGTGGACATTATTGCCGTCAATGATAAGTGTGATTTGTAGAGTGTCTTGTCTAACTGATCTAGTTCTGTGCGTATAAGTCTGATTTTTTCTGAGATAAGAGCTAAGCTAGTTTTGAAAAGAATTCGTTTCGCATTAGAAGAAGTTACAGTAGCAGAGGTGAGTGTAAATGCGATTGGTATTACCCCAGAGTCGCGGCATCTCTTCAGGAAGGTGAGAGACTCGATCAGCTGAGCTTTCTTATCCCGGAGTTTGTTGAAAGATCTTAAAGTTATGTGAAAACCCTCCCCGTAGAGGCGATTAAATTTTGATTTAAAGCTTTCGTGACTGCAGTAATTCATATTCTTAGTTTTTTCGGTAAAGTCACGTTGAAGAGAAACAACAAAATAACAAAATATATATAAAACAATAAAAAATTCTCACGACGTTTCGACCATAACTCAAACGGTCATCATCAGGTGTGTCGGTTTGCATAAATTTATTTTGAAAACGGCATATTTATTTATATATATAAAAATAACGTTTGCGTCACGCGCAACGATGGCAGTTTGCCAGGACTAGTCCATCTATTTTTTGAAAAGAGGAGGGGGGAGACGAAATTTGTTCTTATGTATGCTGTCTGAAAGGCACTGTAAGCGTGAACAATCAATCAAGAACTGAAATGATTTATCAAATCTTTCCAATGATTGCTAAGATAGAATCCATCTTCTCGGTTGAAATTGTCTCTGTGTTTGTATATGTGGATAGCCTCATGAACGAATCTCTCATGGAAGCCAGATGGCTTACAAAGAACCTCTGTCTTGGAAAAGTCAATGGCATGTGAGCCTACTGAATTAGAACAATGATCTGCTACGGCCGAGGTGTTGGTCCTACCGTGTTTAAGGTCTGCTTTATGTTCACGAATGCGGTCCGAGATATGGCGTTTGGTTTCTCCAATGTAACTACTACCACAGAGGCAACTTAGTTTGTAGACACCAGGGTATTGTATGTCCGGAATCACATCTTTTACAGACGGAACCAGATCACGGATTTTATGTAATGTGTTGAAACGGACCTGGATCTTGTGTTTATTCAAGATTTTGGAGATCTTTTTTGTGATCCCAGCAATGTAGGGTAAAGTGATGGTTTTGAAAGGCTCCTCAAGAGGGTTCTTCTTCATGGTTTGAGTGATAGCTTTGCGGATTGTATAGTCGGAGTAACCATTAGCCCTAAGAGCTTGGTGTACGTGCTTGAGTTCACTGCTTATGTGTTCCTGGTCGGATATGCATTGGGCTCTATGATACAGAGTCTTGATGAGAGAATTCTTCTGTGATGGATGGTGGTGGGAATCCGGTTTCAGATAAGCATCCGTATGGGAAGCTTTCCTGTAGACAGAGTGGCTCATTGAACCATCAGGTCTCTTTTTAATTAGGACATCCAAAAAAGGTATCTTGCCATCTATTTCGACTTCCATGGTAAATCTGATGGCTGGGTGTATGGAATTGATGTGGTCGAAGAATTTGTCTAGAGCAGGCCGGCCATGTGGCCAGATGACAAAAGTGTCATCCACGTACCTCTTCCATAAGGTTGGGCGCAGAGTGGCAGTCTGATGAGCGTTTTGAATTATATAAATTAAAAAAGAGGAATGATATTGTAGTTCTCTCAGCTGACAAAGGCAATGCTACTGTTATCATGGATAAAATAGAATACAACAACAAAATTAAAGAATTACTCGACGATGGTAGTTATACAAAAATAAAAAGAGATCCCACCAACAGCCTCGTCACACAAACCAACAAAATAATTTCTGATTCAACCGCATTAATTGATCAATCTAAACAGTTTTCGTTGAAACCTTCTGCTGCCAGGCCACCAAGATTATACGGCTTACCAAAAATACATAAAGTTGATACACCTCTTCGTCCCATAGTCTCTACTATCAGCTCCCCCACCTACAAACTAGCTCGTTTTTTGTCTGAAATCCTGCGTCCTTTCACTGGAAAGACCACCTCTGCGGTACAAAATTCTACTCACCTGGTATCAACAATCAAGGGTATTTCCCTGTCCCCAGACGACCTGCTTGTCAGTTTTGATGTAGTTTCCTTATTCACCAAGGTTCCTGTACCTGACACCATTGCAATCATTGAAGACTTGGTTCATCAAGGACTAAACACTGAGGTACCCCCCCTGGTGAGACACTGTTTAACCAATACATACTTCACTTGGAATGGAACTTTCTACAAACAAACTGAGGGCACCCCAATGGGCTCCCCCCTTTCTCCAGTTATAGCTAACATTTTCATGGAGAAATTTGAGACTGACGCCATCCAGACTGCCACTCTGCGCCCAACCTTATGGAAGAGGTACGTGGATGACACTTTTGTCATCTGGCCACATGGCCGGCCTGCTCTAGACAAATTCTTCGACCACATCAATTCCATACACCCAGCCATCAGATTTACCATGGAAGTCGAAATAGATGGCAAGATACCTTTTTTGGATGTCCTAATTAAAAAGAGACCTGATGGTTCAATGAGCCACTCTGTCTACAGGAAAGCTACCCATACGGATGCTTATCTGAAACCGGATTCCCACCACCATCCATCACAGAAGAATTCTCTCATCAAGACTCTGTATCATAGAGCCCAATGCATATCCGACCAGGAACACATAAGCAGTGAACTCAAGCACGTACACCAAGCTCTTAGGGCTAATGGTTACTCCGACTATACAATCCGCAAAGCTATCACTCAAACCATGAAGAAGAACCCTCTTGAGGAGCCTTTCAAAACCATCACTTTACCCTACATTGCTGGGATCACAAAAAAGATCTCCAAAATCTTGAATAAACACAAGATCCAGGTCCGTTTCAACACATTACATAAAATCCGTGATCTGGTTCCGTCTGTAAAAGATGTGATTCCGGACATACAATACCCTGGTGTCTACAAACTAAGTTGCCTCTGTGGTAGTAGTTACATTGGAGAAACCAAACGCCATATCTCGGACCGCATTCGTGAACATAAAGCAGACCTTAAACACGGTAGGACCAACACCTCGGCCGTAGCAGATCATTGTTCTAATTCAGTAGGCTCACATGCCATTGACTTTTCCAAGACAGAGGTTCTTTGTAAGCCATCTGGCTTCCATGAGAGATTCGTTCATGAGGCTATCCACATATACAAACACAGAGACAATTTCAACCGAGAAGATGGATTCTATCTTAGCAATCATTGGAAAGATTTGATAAATCATTTCAGTTCTTGATTGATTGTTCACGCTTACAGTGCCTTTCAGACAGCATACATAAGAACAAATTTCGTCTCCCCCCTCCTCTTTTCAAAAAATAGATGGACTAGTCCTGGCAAACTGCCATCGTTGCGCGTGACGCAAACGTTATTTTTATATATATAAATAAATATGCCGTTTTCAAAATAAATTTATGCAAACCGACACACCTGATGATGACCGTTTGAGTTATGGTCGAAACGTCGTGAGAATTTTTTATTGTTTTATATATATTTTGTTATTTTGTTGTTTCTCTTCAACGTGACTTTACCGAAAAAACTAAGAATATGAATTACTGCAGTCACGAAAGCTTTAAATCAAAATTTATTTGCTATTTAGTTCATGGATGTGAACATGTAGAGATCATACTTAATGGAGCGGTGTTGCAGTGGCTAGCACACTGCGTTATAAACTTAAGTACATGATTTCCACCCACGACCAAGTAGAGTGGCGAGTGATATCTAAACCAGTCCTGGGCCCCTCATTTCATCCACTCGCACGAGCCAGCATGATGAAGTATGCTCCAACAACCCTACAACCCACACAGGGTGAGAAAAACCTTCATCCAGCAGTGGTAATGAAACATTGCCACAGCTGGGAAAATTAAGTAGAGTGGCAGACAGGCAATCAACAGGCGGTATAGTTATCTGATGCATTATCGGGTGCTATTGTGTCGTTTGGCATGATGGCCTACGTGCTGCGAGTTGAATCCACCGTGTGTCCGCCCACTCTGCCTCCTTGCAGATAGAGGAATTGTACGAGAGCTACTGCATCCAGGGCCGGCTCAGGGATGGCGCGCGTAAGATGATGGCAGCGTACCAGGCGTCGCGGAGCAGCCGTCTGGCGCGTGCCGCTCTGCTGGCAGTGGCGCGAGAGCACCGCGACTACACCGAGGTATCGGGCGCTGTCCTAAACTCGGTCCTCACAGCAGGAATGGGCAGTATTTGTATTATAACAGAACCTAGCTGATTTTTTATATATATTTTACAATTAAGGATTCCGTATGTGTCCGTTTGTTAGCAGTGCTAACATGAGCCACACACTTTTAACAGTGTGTCCCATTGACCGTAAGTGACATTTTCATTATGTTTAATTATATTTGATATTTGGGATATCTATCACATTTCAGCTTATTGGCCTACAGCGCAGTTTTTTTTTCTTCCAGGGCTATAGTCAGGCACCAGTGCGTTCATGACAGTTACCCGTGTGTCGGCTGGGATGGTCTCAGTATTTAAAAAATAAAAAATGGTCCCCATTCTTTCTCAGAGTCTATGCATGTTGGAAAATGAGCTGGAGAAGCTCCTGGGAGAGTTTCACATTCAGATGAAAGGTACGGTTGCACCTTATTTCCCGGAATATTACGGTTTTATAAAGTGTTCGTAGAACCGCCTTTAGGTTGATGAGTCCTTTCTTCTCTTGCTCTCTTCGCGGCAGGTTTAGCAGGTTTTGCGCGGCTGTGTCCAGGAGATCAGTATGAGGTGAGCCACAGCAGCTTCCACTAACTGTGACAGCATTCAAACATTGACTTGGCACAATGTGCCTTTGGCGATATTTCCACGGATGAAAATACAGTATTGCATATCACTACTGTTGTGCGGAATATGCAATGTTGAAATGTGATCACACACAATAAATAACACAAAATAATTCAGCACTTTGTCCAGGGCTTTTACAACTAACATTCGGCAAATCATTCTACATTGCATTGCCAAGCTGCTACAAATGCAGGACAGCGTTCACACTCGTCTGACATTTGTGCAGTGCGAGCAGTGAATCTGTGCTGTGGTACCGACTCGAGCGTGCACGGCGGTGTGTGTGTGGGCGAGCAGGTGGTGGTGCGGTACGGGCGGCAGCGCTGGAAGATGCGCGGGCGCATTGATTCGGCAGACGAGCAGCGGTGGGACAGCACGGAGGCCGTGCTGTCGGCCCTCCTCGCTGAACCCCTCTACGTGCGGGTCAGGCTGGACCTTCCCACCGAAACTCTATAAAACTAAACTCATCCGCATCATTCTTGTCAGTACTGAGCTGCATATTATGCCTTTCATGTATGTATGTATGTTGAACTTATTTCACACCGTACGTAGCCAACTGTGCTAATCGGAGGTGTGGGGGAAGGACAACAAATTATAGACAAAATGCAGTTCTAACGAAATGAGTTTTCAATCTAAATTTAAAAGTGCATAGCTCCAGTGGCTTCCTAATATCGAAAGAAAGAATGTTCTAGACGGCCGCAGGAGTGCAACCGAAAGCGCGCAATATGGTGACCGTCTTTGTTCGACGGCTAGCCAAAAGCTGCTGTGAGAATGACCGGAGTTCACGTGATGGTTTATGCGCCTTGACGAGATCACAAGGTATTGTGGTCCATTTGTGGCAAGCACTTTGTGTGTAATGAGTGTGACCTTAAAAGGAGAGCGATAGCGCAGTGGTAAGAGGGCGGCACTACGAACTCAGCGACCCGAGTTTAATTCTCGGCCAAGGCTAACCTTAGTGGCGAGTGATATATGAGGCGGTCCAGGCCACTCCCTTCACCAACTCGCACAGATCAGCATGGTGAAATTCTGGTCAATACAACCCCCCTTGACCAACACTGTGTGGGGAGGCTTTCATCCAGCAGTGGACTGAGAAATCGCGGCCAAATATTATTGAGCGTTTTGTATGTATGTTGAACTTTTTTCGTACCCTACATAGCCAACCGTGCTATTGGGAGGTGTGTATTATAACAGCCATCGCTGCTACAGTATAAAGCGGTGGTGTAGAACCTGATAACCAGTGGCAAGTGGTGTCTGAGCTTGTCCTGTTCCTCTTCTGGGATGACTCAGCCTTAAATTATTACCTGGTGCAGTGTGTAAACATCACCATTGGGGGGGGGGGCAAAGGGGGTCGTGCATGGTCCTGGCCATAGCACTCCCCCCCCCCCCCCTCATGTTCCGTGCTGGACTTCACAGGTGCTCGTTAACAACACTTCCACCAATGATCTATTGGGGCTATATGGGGGAGCTTTGTATTTTTGTCCATGCACATGTGTTTATGTGTGTGTCGGCATTTAGTACTATACTCATGCAAAAAATATAGTTGGCAAATGATGCACTGGCACCAAATAGTTGATAAATGTGATGATAAGACCCCCTCCCTGGCTGTAATGCCACTTTTCAGGAAGCAGCGCTTGGCGATGTTACTTTCCACGCGTCTGTCTGGATTTTGTGCACAGGTGACGGAGCTGAGAGGCCTGGCAAGCCACACGCTTGTGGGCAGCGTTGCCTGCGAGACGGGAAGCTTGTTTGCTGCAGGCACCCGCATCGTAGCGCTGGACATAAACTCACTGGGAACCATAAAACTCCATCTGGAGGTGACCTGGAAGTGAGTTAATTGCACTACGGATTTTATGAGTAAAACAGGTGTAAAAAGTTGGAATTCTCTTTACATTTTCAATTGATTCATAAATGTTGGTAAAAATGTAAAGGAGAGCTGGCACAAGGTTGCAGGGGGTTCGTCTTTTATTCCTTCCTTCAGTCCACGCCCGTCCCCAGTCTTCTCAATCTCGTTCCCGCCAAGATCTCCCTCCTCCCCGCCCGTTCTCTCTCTTACATCTCCTCGCTTGCTCCTCCCCTTCCCCCCGTCACCCGTCCCACTCCCCCTCCTTTTGGTGGGAATCCTTCCCTTGACATCCCTTACACAAACATAGAATTTTTTTTTTGTATCGTGTACATTTCTGGCCTATGATCAAACCACCCAGAATGCATCCGATCTCGTTATATTTCCGCAGCTAAGCAGGTTCGAGCCTGATGAGTGCTTGGATGGGCGAACAATGCGCTTATAACAGGTTAATAATATAGGTGGCTGCGGGACTGCACGAGGGCAGCAAAGGGCATTACAAAAAACATCCATTGTTGCACTATACATGTTGTGCTGCCACATCTATTCTTCCCACCTATAAAGAGATGGGGGAGTGTATCCAATTAAACCTCAACAACCCACATGGTGTGGGGAGGCTCTCATTCAACAATCGTATATATGCATGTTGAACTTATTTATATTCACCATACGTAGCCAACCGTGCTAATCGGAGGAAGGAAAACAAATGTAAACACAAAAAAGCAGTTCTAAAGAAATTGGTTTTTATTCTAGGTGATTTAAAAATGCATAGCTCCAGTGGCTTCCTAGTATTGGAAGGAAGAGAGTTTTCTAGACGGCCGCAGAAGCCCATCTGAAAGCATGTGATGCGGTGACTGCCTCTTTTCGATGGTTAGCCAAAAGCCGCTGTGTGATGGTTGACGAGATCAGCAAGGTATTTTGGTCCGTTTTCTGGCACTTTTTGTAAAGTCAGTTGACATGAAGGGCTGTACGTGTGCACGTATGCATCTAAGCAAAGCCGTACGTCCTGCGGTGAATGTGTTCCACCGCGACGCGACCCGCAGTCCATTCGACAAGGACGAGGCGGCGATGACCCCGCTGACGGTGGGGAAGCTGTCTGCCAATGCGCGCCGGCGAGCGCCGTGCTATGGACAGAGCCCCCCTGCCACTCCCTCGCTCCACGTGAGTCAGGGATGGCCGAGCCAAGAACAGAAGCACCATTTTATAACAGTGGTAATTTAGTTCTGTGGAAACAGGGGACAGTAGATCGCTATCTGGAGACTATTAATGTCATTAACTGTCCTTTAAATATGGCGTACGTTTTTCCCTTTGGACTGTAATATTCTTTTAATTTTAAAATTGTGATCACATCTATTTAAAGCAAAATAATTCAAAGCTTTTAATTGCAAAATGCTGTTTGTGATGATGTTGTAATCACAGTGACTTTAAAGATGATAGTAACAATGATGAAGATAAATTACTTTCACAAATCATACATTTAATAATCCACATAAGAGCGTATGCATAAGAACCAAGCTCTAATATTCTTGATTGATGCCTGAAGTTTCTACTCTGCATATCACTTAATTTTGTGTGTAATCTCTGTGTGTGGGGGGTGGGCGTGGTTGCTGCAGCAGGCGGTTTTGTGCAGAACGGAGCTTCAGCCCGCTTTGTCCTCCGCCTCTTGCATTTACCACCGAGTAAATGGGCAAGCTCGCCGGCCTCGGATACCAAACTACCAATCTCCAATGCCGGACGACTCCTCCCAGCCTTCCACTGATCATGTGGGAGAACCAGACAAGAACTTGAGATCATTGCCACATACCGCTTCGAACAAGGTATCGTCTACTGAGGCCCTTGCGGGGGATTCATCTTCGTCATCGGAGGAAGAGAAAGACATCGTGGTGGCCCTTCGCAGCCACAATCGGCCATCTGTCCACCACGGCGTTTGGCCCAACAGCCGGGCACTGAGCCTCATCAGCGAGTGCAGCGTGGACTCATTCACAGACACTGGAGCCACCGACGAGCTGCTAGTGAAGCTGTGCAGCATTGCAGACACGGTCACGCTGGAGATGACGGAGCAAACGGTGCGTCCTCCGGGCGACGCTCTCACGGAGGCCCGGCGTTCACAGTATGAAGAGATTTCAACGAACTTTATCGCACCAGAGCTTGAAGGCAACTCAGTGCAACCTCTTTTGTGGAGCGGCGGCATCGACGCCATTGCTGAATGTGCTGGCAAAGCTGGAGTAGCAAGGTCAGCAGGCTATAACGTGGAATCAGAAAGAACACACATCGAAGAAGACCCACTTCTAGAGAATATGGGCCGTGTCACTATGTCAGAGACAAGTCAGAGCAAGCGATGGCACTTACGCACCTCCGGCCTTACACCTGAGATTCCACATTCTGACCTAATGTCAAACGTGTTGCATATACATTCGACAGAGTCAACTCCTACCAACAGTTTGTCACGGACTTCTGTGGGCAATTCCATCCGCCCGATGAAATTAAACTCCGCAATGGCTGACTTGGGCCTTGCCACAAAGGCGGTAACTAAGCCTAGCCACTTGGCTGAATCTCAGAGAGGAGGACCTCTACACGGTGTGGAAAAGCACCATGGCGAGTCCTGCAGTCTGGACGTAGCGTGGATGAACCTCCGCACTGCCCTCAATACCTGCAGAGGGAAATTCAGCGCACTGGACGAATTGGAGCAAGAGGTGACGCACTTGGGCCGCCTCTTACAGGTTAGATTTACCTCAGATGTCTCAACATTTGCAGTCTTTATGCCCACATGGTTTTCCTTACCTGTTAAACGGAGCAGCATTCATTGTCCATTCACAAAATCTTCATCTATAAGTAAATCGTCTTATCTTATCCCATGATCAAATTAACTGGAATGTGCCCGATCTCGTCAGATCTCGGAAGCTGAGCATGTTTATAGCCTAAATAGTTCTTGAATGGTCAACTGCCATGCACAAACAGGTTGTTGTAGGCTGCTGCGGGGACTAAGTTTCTGAAAGCAGTGGGAAGTGCAGCAAAATCAATTGTTGCACTGTACTCTATTCTTTCATATCTATGTTCCCCGCCTTCATCGACCTGCACTCATCAGCGTGGTGAAGAATGGTAAATTATCCCTCACAGTACCATGGTGGGTGCAGGACATTATCCAGCAGGGTATTGGGAAAAATAGTTTCGATTTATTATACTTACATCATCAACTAAACGTTTGCATTACAAACAGACATCGTTATAACTGTGTAGGTGTCCGCAGTCATTCTGTATGGCTTTCCCATGGGTTTTTGGGCTGTACCGCTTGTTGTTTGGCATGATAACTGACGTTTTGCTCCACGTGCTGCCTGAAGGAGCTCTCAGCAAATTAAGTTGAATATCAGACATCATGCCCCACAACACGCGGTACAACCCAATAGCACACATCGGAAGAGCTAAGCAGACAGAGACGATTGGTGCTGTTGTGCGGCACCATTCCGCTGTCTCGGCTGGTGCTGCTGTGTGTCCGCAGGCTCCGAGCACGCCTGCCGAGCCCGAGAGCAGAGGAGGCTCCAGCCTGACGTTGGAGCAGGTCCTGGAGAGCTTCAGCTTCCTGAACGCCTGGGAGCAGGACGACATCTGCATGGATACGCAGCCTCAGCCAGGGTGGATACATGCCGCTTTTTAGTTGTTTCTCCCAGGATGGGAAAAACAGCACTGCTATGATAGTCATGAAATACAACAGGTACCGTGTATAACACTCTCTGTTGTCTTTTTTTCAGGTGTGGCAGTAATAAAGTTAAAGATACAGGAAATCTCGACTCGGTTCCGTTAACAACTGGAAACAAGATTCTGGATGGTTCCCTCGCACAATATCTTTGTCATTGCACAAATCTTCTGCAGGTAGGTCCAGCACGAATGCAATATCTATCATCAACCTGACCTGAACTGCAGTCTTTATATCACTCACTTGCAGGGTTTTGGCTCGGCGATCCACAGACTTGTTTTGCTACTGTGGGTACATTGAGTCCCGGCTCGGTTTTTGTGAAAATGACATTTGATCACTGTGTTGCCTTTTATGGTTTATGTGACACAAATGCATCCATCGGAAATGTGTGTATTTTCTCCAACCAAGTGGGAATGATACAATGGTGAGCTTGTTCCCCCATTTCGCTTTTGTTTCCTGCCCTTGACTGCAGACTGCATGCTCATTGTCCCAAATGCCGACCGTACCCTAAAAAAAGCATCAAGGTTCTTGTACGCTAGTCCAGAGATGGCAACATAGTGGAAAAATATTTTAAATGTACGTATATAAATATCATGAGAAGTCATCCTACATAGGAATATATATTCTCCCAGTTCTATGTAATTTACGTAAAAATGGGTACTCTTACAAATATATTAAAATAACCCCAAGTAATTCAGAAATAAAATACTTTAACATGTGAATGTGTACTTGACTTTAACATTGATATTGTATTCCATAATATAACATCTAAATAACTGGACATATACATGTATATAAAAGCCAAGCCTACATGTGAAAATACCACAAGTGTTATCGGAGTGAGGCATTGGATCTACGGCTTCGTCCAATCACTCGGTGACCGTGTGCCCGCTGGGTCTTTTCAGCAAGGGGGTTCGCTCGGGCCACTGCACTGTGATGACAGTCGCACGCTGACTCGGCTGAGGGAGCAAGTTGGCGTGCTGCGCCAGGTGTCTCAGGTGATGTGCGAGAGCCCTGGGTGCATAGCCCAGTTATCGCTGATGTACGGAGGGCCGGACGTCACCGTGGATCCGTGTGGCATCGACATTCAGAAGCTCTTGGCAGAGCTGTGTTCAAAGCTGGACTCTAACATCCATCAAGGTGCGTGTTACCCCCTCTCCCTAAAGTATTAAGCAATATAAGCATTAAGCTAAGGCTTTGACTCAACCACAGGCATCATCGCATTACAGTGCTTTGCCCTCTGGCGCTTCCCACTGAAGGCGCTGTTGATGCAGCTATCCTCCATCTCCTTTGCACTGTAAATATTTACACATTAATACAGAAATTTAGTGGCGGAAATTTACTTCTGTAGCTACACTGTAGCACTCCCCAATGACAGTGTTGATAGGGCAATCTGTTTGCCTTCTCTTTGGTGTAAATATTTAAAGATGATTTTAATGTTTAAATATTCGGCTACGGACATGACATATCACTCCTCTGTGCCCTGCATATGTGTTGGCTCGCATCTGAGTGCACAAAATCTTATCCCATGCTTTACTCCCACCCACAGTGCTACGGCCAGATGCCGGAGACTGCATACAAGCGGAGCGGGGTGGGGAGGCGAGGTGGAACCAGATGGACTTGACGGAACTCCGGACAGTATTGTAGTGCCACTAGAGTGTCAATGCCCACGCAGCGTTGCCACGGTCCAGTTGCCATCCTGAACTGTGCCAGCAATCCACACCCCCGTGGACACAACACGTCAGATGAAACGCCCTGCTGGTTGTCTAAAATGCCGCAATCTATTTCCCCAGTAAAGTTATTGTAAGTGTATTGCTGTTCTGTCACCCTTTCCATTGCATATCTCAGAATAAGCGGTAAACTTGTGTCAATAATTTAGCTTGGCTTGGGTAGTTATTTGCTAAACTTACTCAAACCAAACTTTAATATGAATCTCATGCTTTCTAAATATGCACTGTGTACAAATTAGTGTACTTCAGTTGAATAATGTGCAACATAAGCGTTATCAGTGGCATATGATTTGTTTAGTATATTAAACGCTTGGAAAAACATTTAACAATAATTTATACCATGTTTCTAAAGACATTGGAGATAAGAGTAGAATCGCATGTTAACCATGACTTTACTACAGCTGCTATTTATGCAATGTCTGTGCTCTTAAAAAACATATGACAAAACATTAAAAATATATTTATTTGCTTAAAAATATGCCTTTAAATTCTGTTACACAAGATCCAATGTGTATACCATGTCTTAAAAATAAAACAGCTATCTAATATGTATTCAAGGAATGTAAGATAATGGTTTTGATTTCTAACATCTGTCAAAACGTATAAAATATATGTTGGATTTGAGATTGGACCAGTTTAATTAAATCTCCATGAAAACGAATTAATCGAGAGTCGGGTGCTTGTTAACACCTGATTATGCTGGATGTATCCTCCAGCGAAACGTCAGGGAAATATTGCCAGTTTTGCTTGCTTTTCAATATTCCGGTTTGCTGATAAACTAAATCAGTTGGCATATTTGCCCCTATGGCGTGATTAAATTGGCTCTCTCGTGTAATGGTTATAGTTTAAACTTACACTATATCTACACTAACTCAAAATAAACTAATTATAAATAATCATAATATTGGTCGGGAAAGCCTACGCATGAACTCAAAATCAATTTTTGTATTTAATTATTGTTTTTGTTTTATACTTAATAATTCGCAGTCTGCTACTCATAGTAAAGCACCTTTATATATTATTATTCAAGCTTATATGGTTGGAAATTCGTGGTCAATTTACCCGCTGTGACTGGAGCAGTCAACTAACACTGGATAGTGCCAGTTTCTTTTATGTTCAGTCCCTGTTTAAGCTTCTTCAAAGCAGGTGTGGGTTTACATCTTCGCTTCTGGGGGTCCCATTGGCTCACAGGTCACCGTCTCTAAATAGCTGCACTAAAAATACTGAGCGGGTGGAGCTGCGAATGTATTTATTCTTCATGAAAATCATACTGTACATATCTGTTGAGTACTACTTGAATAATTGCATCAAAAACTACTTAATCAGTGGATGACGTACGTCCATAGCTAAATACGGTGCAGGATTTTTTACTTCGTAGGTTTTTGCCGTTTTCCTGTATTGTGCAGCTCTTCTTCGATGTGTTGTCGGGTTGCACCGCGTTTTGTTCGACATGTTAGATGTTTGGCTCGGAGAGCTATGCAGCGAATTGTGTCGTGAATACTGGATATCCCATGATCGAGATAAAAAAGTAGGACAAAAATAAACTACCAAGGTTTTATATATTGTCCTCCATTAGACGTCAGTTCGAGGCCTCATCAGCCCTGGCACGCGGTCTTTTCTGCCATCTTTCGTCTTGACAAACACCCCTTTGTCTCTTTTTGGACAAACAGCTACCACAACAATTGCTTCCTTGTGACATGAGTAAGGCTGCGTGGTCTTGGCAGGCCAGAATTAATTTGCCTCTGGGTATTGTATGCAAACTTGAGTTAATTGCGTTGCACGTGGAGTGCATATAACAAGCTCCATATTAATTAGTGAACATCTCTCTTGGGGACTTGCACTGCTCAAAATATATTTGTTTAGGACAAATAATATCATCGCAGAATTGATTTGTGGATAATGTATTGGACCACGTGAAAGCACGTGAACATTCCTCAAGTAAAGCAAAGACCTGTGATTTTGAATGACACATTATCTTTACGTTATATAATTGTTTAAATAACAAAAAACTGAAGAATGGCTTGATTGAAGAGGTGGCAGCAGATGTAAGCTCAATTGGCTGATGGAGTTAAATTCTCTCAATTCAAATTAATTCGAGTACAAATATGTTACCGCACATTGTCAGGGCAAATATATAATTACCTCACTACATTTAACGTTGTGAAATAAATGACAAACACGTGTCAACTTAAAACAAGCAACTGACAATAAACGCCGTGAATCGGGCCATTGTGACGTCAGGCGCCGCCATCTTGGTGGCCAATCGCCCGTGACTACCAAAATGGAGCTGCAACACGCGCATTCGTTTATTCGCGTCTGACGATATTAGACATAGCTAACAATATAAAGTTCAATATGATGGTTGAGATCGGTTGTAAACGCGTATCGCGATCGCACCCGCGCTTATGCTGCCCCCTGTCGCATTGAATTCTCAGAATTTGCTTCGGCTTCGTCGTGACAACCACAGTGGAGGCCTTTGTTGCGCGACTCGCGCGCAGTGGTGTCGCCGTGTCAACACGAGGGTTGACACCCTCGAGGGTGTCTTGCTGTGGTTGTCCCACCTGATGACGGACGCTTGTGTTGCGCCCGAAACGTCGTGGCTTAATTTATTTTATACCTACGTGACTTTACCGAAAGAACCAAAGAGTATCTTAACACCTGTTTTATTGCCAGAAAGGGTAAAATACATAATAGGCGACGTATCGGGCAATGGCCCTTCGCAACACGATTTATTAAATTCCATTCTGGGCAAAAGCAACGATGTACATATGCTGCACACAGTTATACTGTACTAGCTATGGTGCCTCGGTGGATGTCCGATGCGTAATTTTGTTGCCACCCGCCTCTCTATAATAAATATAATCTAGCTCTGCTTGTCCAAACTCTTTGCAGTTGTAATAATGTGCACTTTTATTGAGGGGCTGTGTGTTGCCTTGGTGTGGTCTGGGATTGTTTTGCTGTGGTTTTGCTGCTTTGCCCAAGGTTGGGAAGCGATGTTCACTTCTGGGATTTTAACTTATATATCTATTTTTATACATTAATTTTTCGTGATTTACTTACCTTCCCTAAAACTTTGCACTCATATCGTTTTCCTATTCTTGTAACTTTCTGACCCGCCCCGACGGGGACATGTGTGGGGGGAGGGGGGGGGGGGAAGAGCTTCACAGCTCATCGGATTTCTGCAGAGTAAAGATTCTGATCCTCATTGCAATGGCGAGCGAGGAGGGTGCGGAGTTCCGTGACGCCTCCTGCTGGGAAGATCTCGGGGGACGAGGCGGGTGGTCAGTGGAGTCAGAGCCACCCACCACCACTAGGCCGTAAGGTGAAGACGTTTTACGTTTAATCCCGTTCCCAAATATGGGGCACTAAATTATTTTCATTCTAATAAAAATATCTATTGTTTTGGGGCGTTTTTTCCAATTCACAATTATATACATTTATGGATTGTGACAAAAAAAACTGCAGGGTATTTTGCGGAGAACTTTTAACATAAAGTCGATAATGGTTTTGTCTATGAAAAAAATCATTTAAAAAGTAGTGCCCAGGTGTGGAACGAAAATCATTTTCTAGCCACTTTTTCCTAGTTCACCTTATGGCCTACACCATCATCATAATCATTCCGAGAGCCCAGCCGCAGGTGGATTTCGCTTTACGTGGCACCACCAGGATTGCAACGCTTAAATTACATTTGATTCTATCGCCCCCGATAAATGCATCGGGAATCTTGGGTGGGTGGAAGGAAGAATCAATTATTTTAGATCCATAAAATTGTACATTAATTTTTTTTGTTAAAAATCGTTGGTTTTTTTAAAGTTTGAATAATACTGTTTTGTTAACTTATTTGGAAAATGTAACTTGCAAGTATCTAACTTTCAATATGGAATGCAAAATCAAATGCAGCTTATGTAGCTTTAGCCGTCGATACTCTCATAAGCTTAATCTGCACATGAGACACTGGTAATGATTCCAAACAAACCATGCAGTGCTTTTAAATGGTTATGTACATTTGGATGCTCATTCAGTTTTGTTGTACATTGAGTTGGCCGTTGGCCGCAGGTGAGCGGCCATTCGAGTGCCATGCATGCCGTGCATGATTTACGCAAAGGAGCAGCTTCAAGATGCACTCGATGCGTACACACACACACATGGATGATGTGCCCAAGTAGCCCTGCCCTCACTGCGATACTGTCGTCGCAAATAGGTTCGAAGCTTTCACTTTTAAAGCGCACGCCACAAATGATCCAGCAAACAAAAGCACTGTTAAAAATCCCATCTCTGCCCAGGTGTGCTGATGAATCCTTGAGGTGTCGCTTCTGTGACGTCTTCCTTCGTGAGTAGCGAACGCTCAAGGAGCAGCAGCAGCGGCATGCACAAGAATGAGAAGCGACTATACCTGCAAGCCGGTAATACACTGCACCAAGTGTATTTGCCTACCTAAACAAAATGCAGTATAATTAAAATGTTTGACCAGCTTCTCAAAAGCAACGTTTCAAATTCTAAGTACAATGTATCTTTCATGGCTTCGGGGATCCAACATACTCTCTGTGTTGGTCTCAGGAGAGGCAACATGGTCTCATGCACAAGCACGTGCACACGGGAGGGAAGCACTTCACGTGATTTCTCTGCTGTAAGGCTTTCCACCAAAAGCAGCTTCTGGCTTTCCACCTCAAGAGCTGCCATGGCCCCAGCTTTGTGCCCACAAACCTCTACAAGTGTCACCAAAACGTCAGCCGGAGAGTAAGATAATGCACACGTGCGTTATTAAACTTGCACGCATTGATCTTAAAGATGACAATAACTCTCCAAAATAGTGCTTGTGTATTGCGACTTATGAATGCTCTTGCTCTGCCTTGGTATGTCTCATCACAGTTTGCAATGAAGAAGCACGGTAAGGAGTGTGTTTGGGAAATTTACGTCGAAAAGGAGAGGACAAAAGTGCAGAATGGCAGAGCAGAATCAGTGTACATGCATGGAAAAAGTATGCATCTCATGTAGACAATGCTAATTGCCTCTTTTAATATCTATTTGAGAGTCCACTAATTATTTAACAGTTGTGTCGTACGTAAATAACCAATTGCATTGTTATTTATGTACATTATTCAAGCACTATCCTGGGGCGCCACGGTGCCAAGCTGTTAACTACCTCGCCTGGGATACAGGAGGACGTGGGTTTGAACCCAACCTTGACACCTGCTGTATATTTGGAGTTTGCATATTCTCCCCCTGATTGTGTGGATTTTTTTCGCCAGTTCCTCCAGTTTCCACCTCCATATGTAGAAACATACGTCTTGAGTATTTGTCTGCTATAAATGTCCACATGATAAGCTACTTCGTTGAGATATGAATTGTGGCCAGGTCGCTTATGAAAAAAGCAATACAGTATATTTGTTTTCTAGTTTAATCCACCCAAAGCCAATGCAGCCAGCCTTCATAATCAAATAACAGGCCACTGTTCCTTTTTAAATAACAGTAGCTCTACAGTACTTAATTCCATTTTTTATGTGAATAATTTAATGTTGATTTTTATTATTATGCATATTTGTAAGTTAAAAGAGTTTGCACAACAGTCTGAATCGTTTTGCTTTATTGTGGTAGGCTGTTAATTGCAATGGATGTTTAATTGCAGTGTGATTACAGGCATAGCTGTTAAACATAGCATTGTGCATTAATGGTATAATGATGGAAACAGCTAAGACTGATTGGGCAGGGAGGAGAAGAAATGTGTAAGTGCAGACCATAAATAAGATCGGTTGCACATCACCCCAAACCATTGTTTTTTTCAAAACAGATTGAGCTAGCATTTCAAAGGATAGTCGCAACAAATTGATAATATCTTAAGCTGATAATAAACTGCCGTATAAACTTAACATTTGTATGGGTCATTATGAACATGTCGTTTTCATTTGACTGCGTAGTTTTAAATTGCAATGCGTACACTGTGTAAGCATAATTAATTCCAAACACCCATACTACTTTTCTTAACATTGACAATTTATCATTGCACAGAACAGAGAGCATGTGTGATTACATATGCATTGCATTGCATTATGTAACAATATGAGCTTTCAGAATACGATGTAATGTTGATGGGCTTTTAATGTACTTAATTTGACTGTGTAAATGGAATGTGACTAAAATATGCCTCACCCATTTGTAATGAGGTCAGTGTCTATTGTGTGTTCACATTTTACATGGTGCACAATTCACTTGATGAGCACCTAAGCAGCACCAGCACATTTTCTTTCACATTTGAAATCGTGCTGTTAAATAGAAATTCACAGCTGTGAACATTCAACTATAAATGTGCACATTGAGGTAACATAAGTTACTGCATCGTAAATGCAGGTTGTGCAATACTAAATTCACGAATAACTACAATCCTGCAGTTTCTGTGTGCATTTAATAATTAAGGAAATACATGAATGTTTAAAATTGGCTTGCTGGGGCCCTGTGGTTATTGTATAAATATTCTGCATTGAACATTGTGGCAGTACAAACTATTCTATGATATTAAACAAGCCGACCAAGGTTGGCGTATAAGTTAAACAAATGTGTACAGTATGCTCTCAACAGTTGTTAATACGTTTAAGTTTAAGCATGCAATGCTTGCCTTTCCCAAGTTTGAGCAGTCAATTTGTTTTCATTTCTGAACAACAGCATGGTGCATTTTAAGTGGTCATATGAAAGAGAAACGTCATAAATGAATGCAAGCTGTTTATGAACATCCCAGGGATTTACATAAATTAAACAATTGTGTTCTCTTATAAAATGATCGTGTTATTTGGCTGCTTTGAGCATAGTGTGCAGTTCGAATGCAATACACAAATTACAGTCCACAATTTACATCATTGCCAAAATTGCACAGTTGCAGATGGAATAGTCCATTCTCACTTAATCGTTTCATTTGCACAGTTGGCTCTTGCAGCTGCAAACAGAGTGTGCACACAATTAGCACCCATTTCATTTGAATGTGTCATTGAAGTCAAAGTGTTTGGAAACATGGTTAGTGAAATATACCGCATAAAAAAGTATCCCACTGAACACCAGGATAACTATGTACATGGCTATTTAAAAAAAAGTATTTAAGATGTAGTAGGCAATGGTGGAAACAAATTTTCCGGCGGGTGCATTTCCTTCCTCGGCCAGCTTTGTGTGTTCTCGTACGCTTTTATAGTTTTTACTTGTAAAACAAATTATCCAGGACAAAGAGCACAAAGCGAATTAGCGTTAAATGAGGTAGCGATAATTGGTAATGCGTGAAAGTGGCCAACAGGGGGTGTTAAGCTGACAGGTCGCAGGGTGGGCACGGAATGAAAGGGTATCGTGATACGTAACTAATTCCCATACACCCAAAATGAGAATCAATGGCGATTATAAATGTACTATTTTTGAAGTAGGGTTGCCGGCATGTGTTAGGGTGGCAGGAATTTATGTTCTTTGTTTTTTTTCGGTAAAGTCACGTAGGTAAAAAAAATCAATAAAATTAAAGAAAACATTGATATTTTTTTACCTACGTGACTTTACCGAAAAAAAACCCAAAGAGTATGAATCCTTGCAGTCACGAAAGCTTCAAATCTATAAGAAATTATGTGTTAAGATCTGGTGGTATTGGACGTAATATTACAGTGTACTGCATAATTTTGATCGACCTATTAAACGTACCCCAAACGTAATAATAGTTTATCATATTGTAAGAGGCTAGGTGGCTCAGGAAGCCGACACGTTATTAGAGCACTGAACCTCAGTAAAATATAACTCCATAGATTAGTCGTAAACATTTGAGATTTTTACCTAATTTATTTCATTGTGCGTTGTCGAAATAATGTTTGTATTGACAATGATGTGCTGCACCCCGTTGATTATCTCATAAAACATCTTTAAAGGTCACTTAAATTGCTTTGCATGACAAACTTGAGAAAGTCCACGTTCATTTAATCAACTCGTCAGCCTCAAGAGGACTCCATTGCCAAAGGGACTTCTTGTACAAAGCGCTTTGGTGTGTAATGTATGAGTTAATTTCATCGCTAGTATGTCCAAACGAGCCGGGAAATATCACTATGTACTATGTACGAGTCATTTGACCCCATAGCAACATTGTATTTATCCATAATACACCTAACACCCCCCCCCCCAAAAAAAAAAACCATCTATTATGGATAATATAGGTCGCGAAAGCCTACGGGTCAAATAATATTTATTATTGACTTGCCCATTTGACACGGTGCTGCAACAGCGCCGTCCTAGAGTAGGCCGCGGGCGCGCGCCCGTCGTCAACGGCAACGCGAAGGACGAGCGCTCCCATTGGTTCGCGCGGCCCCGTTCCCGCGCGAACCAATGAGCGCGCGCCATAAAACAAAGGGGGCCCCGTCGGAGTTTAAAGGAAGCAGCGCGCGCGGGGGGGCGATTTTTGCGTCACAAAATTTTGCAATTAAATTCGCTTCCCTACGAACGTTTCAATCCCTGCGCGGTATTTCAACCAAGATTTGTTTGTGTTCGTTTGCTGCTTCGTCGCATCCGCGGGCCGAGATATGCGTGTTAAAAGATAACGATTGCACGGGCGTTGTTCGAAGCGGCGAATGGGCGCTCACGTCCGTGGATTAAATTGGCGTCGCCGCTGCCGCCGCCGTGTTAATGGGAGGGGGTTGGCGTCTTTGGATGGGTTTATTTTATTGTTTCTTTTATTGGTTCTAAACTCCGTCAGTTTGCAAAGTACGAAATGTTTGGCATTTGCTGCGTTGGTGCCACGTGGGGGGGTTTGCTCCGTCCGCTCGCGTCATTTAGATGTCAATGTTCGCCTCCGTAATTCGGTTAATTTCAAATGCATGCGCCCAATAATGTAGTTTGGTTAATTTAATAGGAAACTTTATAGACAAACTTGAAATGTTGCTTCGTGCAGTGCATATGTATTGCTTATATGTAACATTACGAAGTGTATTCTCGCAAAATAAGCGTTATCTGAATTGCCTGCATACGTACGACTAATTAACGTGGTGTTGACACCAGAATTGCCGTGTAATCATTAAAATCTCAAGAAATACTGTATTTAATGTTTTAACTATAACAATTTTGCAGTTTCGTGTTGATCTAATGACACCTCAGTGATGCACGATTTCAGCCAGGAAGTCGCCAACGTGCAGCGGGCGTTGCAAGCAATTCACGAGCAAGCTTCACATTGATGTATAAACCATTGCAATTTCTTAACCACGGTCCAACTTTCCATTCCCAGGGGAGATTTGGAACGCGTGTCCCCCCTCCCCCCGTTGAGGTGCCCGCGGAAAAGAGGTCGTGGCAAAGCATGCGGGCGGAAAGGCATATCACCATGATGGTAATTACTGCGTTGCATTATTTACCACGTGCACATTTGTGCATGCATAGGCCGTGTTTTGCCAATTCACTGTTGGATGATGGTTTCCCCAGGCCGTGCCGGTTGTGGGGGTGATTTGAATATTCATCACCAAGCGTGGTCAGTGCGAGTCGGCGAAGCATAACACGTATCTTGTAGTAATCCAAGTAAAGTGGTTTTCTACTCAAGGGGTTTGGGCACTCAGCTCCTGTTTTCATCCTAGAGCCAGTGGTGGAAATAACACATTACAGTATATTGCCGGGCATCCACAGTGCGTGAATCTCAGTATCAAAATAAAACCACCGCCACTTTTCTAATACTATTATATAATTCATCACCGGCCATGATCTATACACCGCTGGATGAAAGGCATTGAAAAGTTGTTTACATCTCTCAGATTTGTGATGCCACAATTCTTCCCGCTCCTAAACTTCCTCACAACAAATTTTGATTTAAAGCTTTCGTGACTGCAGGGATTCATATTCTTGGTTATTTCGGTAAAGTCACGTAACTTTGCCGAAAGAACCAAGAATATGCCTTACAACAAGTTCAAACGAATGAAAGCCACCCCTCCTTCACATTTCACCACCGTATAAATATACTGTATGTACATTGACGCAATGGGTACAAATAGAGTCATGCCTTTGCCCGACACCTAGCCCGAATGTTGATCCAGTGCCCATTTAAGTCCCGTCCGAGCTGTACACCATCCTGTGAACTGAAACCTCGTCATTTTGACATGACCGAGCCGACTAACGCGGCAGGGAATTCATTAGTTAATATTAATTTACACAGTTGTTTCTGCTGATTTATATTTGCTGTATGTAATTTATTTGTTTAGCTTTTGTAATTTTGGTGACCCAGGCCACATGCAAATGAGATTATCCTGGTCTCTTGGGTTCTCACCTGGTTAAATAAATAAACTTGATTATGGGTACAAATTATTCCACAGGACAACTATTAAACGCATATAAAAATAATAAAATTGTATAGGAGTGTTATTCTTGCATTGTAATGTATATACCCATCTTGTCTTAGCATAAGGACTTGGGGAGATGGAGGAGCAGTCGATGACCAGGAGATTTGCTCATGTCCCAACCAAGGGTGGCCATCTGCACCACCTTACATGACCACAGTCAGGGATTTTTGGTGCATGTGGTGCTCTTTAGTGTGGATGGCTGGTAATACTGGGATCGATATTCATGAGGTAAGGTTGCACTATAAACTGCTGAATGCACTTTTACATTTGCCATATTTGCTCTTTGAAAAACTTCGGTGTGCATTGCAAAAATGTGTAAGATGCATAATGTATAAATATTGTGAGTTCAAAAATAATTATTTTCAATGGCTTGTCTTCTGTTCTACATAAAGAAAATGAGCGAGGAAGAAATGGTACCGGTGATTGACGAACGTCCAGAAATGGTGGATGATCAGCTATGTGAAATGGGTGAAGATCAGCCATGTGCGACTGGGGAAGATCACTCATGTGAAATGATGGAGGCTCAACCCAGTGGAATGGTGGAAGACCCCCCATCTAGAGAAGCCAATGATCAATCACGGATTACAGCAGACACTAAGTCCTGTGTCACAGTAGATGATCAAGCACAAAGTGTAGAACATCAACCACATGTTGTACCAGGTAAAATACCTGGAATAGTGAAGGATCTGTCATGTGAAATGGGAGATAATCTGCCTTGCGAGATGGAGGAATGTGAATCTTCAGAGGGTGAGCCATCTAAAGTAGCATATGATGAACAATGCGACATATCTGAGGATCGGTCACAAGTAATGGTGGAGGATCCACAATCGACAATTGTGAAGGCTCTGCCGTGTGACGAAGAGGCAGTTCAACCTGACAAAGTCGATCAGCCACATGACACAGATGAACATCCTTTATCTCCAGCAGTAAAGGATCAGTTGTGTATAACGGTTGAAGACCAGCCCTGTGGGATGGGGGATGATAAAACAGGTGGAATGAAGGAAGCTCATGCAGGCAGCACAAATGATCCACGCTTTGCAGAAAAAAATGACAAAGAATGTGGAATTGCAGATACTCACCCTTGTGAGGTGCAGCAGAAGCAGGCACAGGCAAGTGTTGTGGTGGAAGATCAGCCTTGTGTGTCAGTTACTGATCAACAATGTCAAGTGGTTGAGGAGCAGCAGTGCTCGGTAAAGGAGGAAAAGCCTGACACTGAAACACCTAGGACAACTGCAGCAAAACCTGATAGTGCAGACCTATGGACCCTGGACAATGCAGCAGATGTAATTGATATAAGCTCTGGCTCTGAGGAAGTGGATGACGATGTTCTGGAGGTGATTGACCTCTCCTCAGGCTCTGAGGAAGAAGTAGAAGAGGATGAGGAAGAGGACGAACAGGAAGAGGAGCACTCTCTGTCAGATGAGGACCCAGCACCCGAGCAGCTCTATGAATTGGAGTGGACGCGCACACTGCAGGTTAAGGGTTACTCTAAGTTGTTGAGTGAGGAGATCATTTTCGCACTTCACTGTAAAATCAAGATAGGGGTAAAACTGATATTACATTTTATGAAATACTCTTTGCTGCATTCGGTAAACTTTACACTCGGTCTTTGCTGTGTTGTAAAATGTAATGTGACAATTTTTTTTCCGGTATGTGGGGCAACACAATCCATCAATAGCCAGATGCGGTGCAGTTGGAGGAGTTCCAGGGCAGCCCAGGCCCCGTGCATGCGCTCCCAGCCGGTTCTCAACCCCTCGACTACTTCAAGCTCTTCCTAACAGACGAAATGCTGGACAGGATCGTGACTGAGACCAATCGGCATGCGGCTCGCTGTGGGGCCAACATGCACCTGACAGGCCCTGGGCCAGGCTCTGTGTCGGGTGAGGGAAGGCCCGTGACGCGGTCCTCGCTCTCCACCTTCCTGGGGGTTGTGCTCATCATGGGCATCAATATGCTGCCAGCACTACCATACCACTGGGCAGACGATGACTCCCTGGGAAACCAGTTTATCCGCCGCTCCATATCCCACAAGAGGTTCAGGGAAATTTTGAGGTAGCTGCTTTGTTGCAAAAGAGCTGTTAGAATATTGCACTCCAGTTTTGGCCAATGGGTGTGTTGGTGGTTTATTTACTGTTTCCATCTTTTTCCATTTTTCTGCAAAGGTACCTCCACATTAGCGATGATGAAAAAGCACCAAGCAGAGGACGGATCGGCTATGACCCACTGCACAAGATCCGCCCACTGCTCGACCACCTGCTGGGGGCCTTCTCTCGCCACTTTGTTCCATTCCGAGACATGCGCCTCGACGAGGTGCTCAGCAAATTCAAGGATCGGCATGATGCGCTGCCATGTGTGCCCGCCAACCCCATCCGCTGCGGCGTCAAGGTCTTCATCTGCTCATGCGCGTCCACAGGCTACGTGCACTCGCTGCTCGTGCACGCCGGAGGCCACGATATCGTCGTCGCTGGGGGCCTGTGGCGCCGACGCAACAAAAGCTTCCCCCTGGGATACAGAGCTGCCATGCGTCTGACGGAGCGCCTGCACGGGGTCCACCACCACGTGTATTTCGGAAAATTGTTTGGCAGCGCGCGACTGCTCTCCGACTTTCTTCAGCGTGGCACGTACGGGTGCGGCTTGGTACGACCCAACAGCCGTGGCTTCCCCAAGGAGTTACGAGACTCGCGGCTGCAGCCCGGAGACACCAAGTTCCGGCAGAGCGGGCAGCTGGTAGCCTGCATCCACAAAGCCAACACTGAAAACATGGCCATCATTGCCTCCAACTCCCGGCCAGAATCAGAGCGTATGCAAAGGAGGTTCCACAATTATGACGTCGAGGGAAGCCAAAAGCCGCATCCGTTGCTCAACTACAACATGTGCATGGGCAAGGTGGACATCGCCAGCCAGCTGCAAACCTGGTTCGAATTGGGCCGCGAGGGGCGCAAGTGGTGGAAGTACATGTTTTTTTTCCTTCTCAACACTGCCGTGGTGAACTCCTACATCCTCTACAGGCTGAGCAACATGCCGCAGCCCCGCAACGCCATGAGCCAGCTGGAGTTCCGCTTGCTCTTGGCCAAGCAGCTGGTGGGAAGGGTGGACGTGCGCAAGGGCCCAGGCTTGCGGAGGGTCGGCAGGGCTCGTGGTGGTGGTGGTGGCGGCAGCAGCAGCGGCGGCGGAGGCCAAAACCGCCGCTGTATAGAGCGTGTGCTGTGGCCAGCGCCCAGCGTGAGCCCCCAGCAGCACGCCTGCGTAAAGTTCGCGGGGCGCAAGCGCGTGTGTGTCCTGTGCAGCAGCCGCAACAAGAGAACTCGGCGCGGGCGCAGTGTGCAAACCAGCTACGGCTGCCAGATCTGCAACGTGAACCTCTGCCAAGTTGGCTGCTTCACCGGCTACCACAGCAAGGAGCAGCTCGCTGGCAGCAGGGCATTGCGGCGTCTGTAAGCACTGCAGGAAACAAAGCATTTGGCAAGCCCTTGTGTCGTTAACTCAAATCAGTTGATTCAGTAGCCCACAGAATAATGTCGTTTATGCTACAACCAACACACAAACTATAGCCGCCTTTCAGGCTGCCGGAATGGCGACTAGATAAGGCTGGTGGTTTTCACACTTGCCAATTAGCCAAATAGCCACTCCACATGTAATTTCATAATTTCCTGTCCTGTGCGCAGTCACAGGGGTCGAGGCGGGAGCCAACCAAGGAGTGCGGCGCGCCGGGGCCCCCGCACCAGGGAGCAGGGCTGCCAGGCAAACCTGGAGGACGACCCAGCACATGACATCAAGAATGAGCGCTGCGATCAAGGCATGCCATGCCTGTTATTATTTGGGCCGAGGTTACTTCTGGAATTCCAGTGTGCGGTGCAAGGCAGTGTTCCTGTCTACCCCGATTGCCTTGGAGAATGTTTGATCTAACCATGTTCAAACATAACCTACTGATGAGAAAATGCACCTGATCTCACCAGATCTCGGAATCTAAGCAGGTTTGAGCCCGGGTAATACTTGAAAGGGGGGCCATCATGTACAAAAGGTGTGGGTTTGTGTCATGGGCAGCAGAGGGCAGTGCAGCAGTGCAGAAAAAAACATTGTTGGATTACTGCCATATCTATGCCCCCTGCCTTCACCAGCTGAAACTGACCTGGGTCTTGAACCGTGGTCAAATAACCCCCATGATCCACATGGCACAGGAGGCCCTCATTCAGCAGTAGATTGACAAAATGTAAAATATACCTTCATGTTATATGATACAGTAAATCGCTATAAAACTGGAGTGTTCCATATAGTTTCCCGCACCTCCGATTAGCATGGTTGGCTATGTACGGTGCAAAAGAAGCTCAACATACATAAAGTATTTAATTCTAAAATCACTTTGTGAAACCTGTTCAGCTGGCGTTAGTTTTAACGAGCCAAACGATGGCAGTCCAATCCAGAAATATTCCATTGAGGGAAAATGCATTTTTGCTTTTGCCAGCACTTATTAAATGTTGCACCAATTCCTGTGCAGCAATGGGACCTTGTTTTTTGGTTTAGGGATGATGGATGGCAGTGCAGAGGAGAGAGTGCCTGTGTCAATGGAGGGCTGGGAGGGGCCCAAACTGGAGCCAGAAGAAACAGAACTTGCACAGTCCAGCAGTGATCCCTCCTCAAACCACGCATTACCAGGTAAGACAGACCCTTGGGGATGCAACCTTTTTAGAATGAATCGATAGTCCTTTACCGTGCTGTGTATTCAATGGACATTTTACTTAATTTCATGTCTTGTTTAGGTACACTGGTATGTTGCTTTTCATATTTCACCATTTTGTTCCTGGTCCATTTCAGTAATTTCCCGAGATATACATACTCTTTAGTGTTTTACAGCATTGGTTTCCCATTTGTTAAGTCAAACCTTGACGTGACTTTTGTTTTGCTATTTATCTTTAGCCTCACTTCGTAGCCTCAAGTTATTCATAATTTCCTGTATTTCATTACTATCAGTTATGACTCATCATTGAATCTGAAATGGTCATCTTACAGCACTGTGGGATTTGTACAAATCTGCATGATCCACCAATATTTTCTTCCCAAGTGGAGGCATGTGCAACCATACCCAACACTTAGTTCTTGTTCAGCTACTCACAATCAGAATGTATTTATACTGGATGAATTCAATGAGCTATAATGCTATTTTTCACAGATGCACCGTGTTTGTCTTTCAGAGAAATTTGTTGAAGACTGATTTGGAGAACGTCACCCAAACAAAGCAGAAGGAACCTGTCCATTGATGAAAAAGATAGCCACTTATTGATTGGACTTTAAAACATTACACAATTAAATGGAGCTGATGTCAGCTTTTTCTTGTAAGCGTGCAGTCTAAATAACAGACGTTAATTCGGAGTATACCCATAAAAGATGGTTCTATCTTTTCCTAGTTCTTAAAATAATATATAGCCTTAAAAGGTTAATTTTCTAATTTCAGCAGTCAGTGAAACGCTTCTGTATTTTTCTCAAAGTACTCTCAAAGACATTACCTCTGGCCTAAGACTAAGTACAGCAAATTGCTGTGTCAATAATACTGTTCCCACAGACATTTTTTTGTCGATGAGAGCTCGTCCTTGATTTTAAAGGCTATTTTATAGCACATTGTATTAACATGCCATTTGTAATAAGTGTAGTTTGTATCAAGTAGGGTTTTCCTGTTAATGTCTCACTGGTGTAGTGCTGTCACCACTTTAGTAATGATCCACCACGAAGTATTAGTAATGTGTATAGATATGCCTTGTGCATTATTATTTATTCTAGACACGAGTACAATATTGGCCAAGGCTGTATAGGGGAATTATCCCAGATGTTCTTAGAGATGTGCACTTTCCATCAAGGGTCATAGTGTTTACTTCTTCTTACTAACAATTCCAGGATTCGAGTGGCTACAAAAGAAAAGTATAAACCTGAGACTTTAAGCACGTTAGGTGTACTACTGGAGGAGCATGCACAGCCTTTTATTTACTCCAGTTTCTAAGTACGTGTCAAATTTAGTCTTGTGAAAGTCATGTGAAAAATAAATGTAGGTGAAATACTGTCATTGAATTTTGTTGGGACATTTATTTGTGTTAAATGTGAATGGTGGAAATATTTGAAAAAAATTCTGCAACACTGCATTGGTTTGTTGCAACTCTAGTTCAATTCCATCCACCATATCCAATGAGGGCCACTCACTGATCGACTTGACTTAAAAATAATACTCAATGAGGCCTCGTATCGCTACATTTAGTTCCTAGTGTGGCAACTGGGCGTGGTGCCTGCCACATCACATCCCTGGCAGGGCCAAGAAAAAACACCCATACTTTTGCTATGGTTATTCACACTTTCAATACAGGCCCTTTTATTCCGTTTCAGACTCGAGGCATTTATGGAATCAAATACAGCTTGCACAAAATGTTCACGTGAACAAATAACATTCTGTTTACCTCCCAAAAAGGTAAGAAACCAAATCAACCTTATTAATGGCCTTTTTAACACAGGTGATCATTGCCATTACACCGCTATTGCAGGATGTCATTAACCTAAGCCAAATGACGGTGTATAAAACTTCAACAGCTATACGCTGCAGCCAACAAACTTGGACTGCATTTCAGTTTGAAATTTATTATAAAAGCATTTACTTAGCTTTGCATATTACACATGACTTCGATCATCATTAGGTCATATACATAAGTCAAAATATAATTGTTCATAGCATAGCAATACTGGATAGTATATACAATTGTGTACAAATTCTACATTCTATCTACAATGTCACAAAACATTTTGATTATTCACATAGTGGAGGTGTATTTTACAGAGCAAGTGTTTTAAAGCAAAGAGTGTGTTTCATCATCCACGGACAAGTAATGGAAACCCAAATGAATGACACTTTTCCATCCACCGCCTCGCCCTGTCTGCTTCCTGTTTACATGCATTAGCAACGTTAAGTGTTGACACCAATGTACCACTGTTGGGGGAAGAAAAACCTAATTGTGCATGCACATACCTTTTAGGGCACTCATCAGTCTTGCTGAGAGTGCACCCACATTAAAGTTGCACTTATATATCCCTTAGCAGAAAGACATCAACGTAGCCAATTGAGGTCGCTGCCAATACAAATGTCCGTGCTTAGGCAAGCAGCTGCCCCCCGCTTACTGCTTGACAGCCAGCTCCTTCTTGAGGGCCCCGTCGACAATCAGCAAGCACTGGAGTGCAAGCTGCTGGCACTCGCGGTCAGGCTCACTCTCCATCATGTCTTCGAGCCAGGCCCGGGTCTCTGTGGCCTCCCCGAGCAGTTCGGCCTCAGCGCAGACGCTCGGCGCAGCTGCTGTGGCCATTGCCAGGCAGAAGAGCAGGCCGCGGCGCACAAGAGGGTCGCTGTGGTAACGCAGGGCCCAAAGGAAGTCCAGCAGCGTCTTGGCCATGCGTGGGGCTAGCGGGGCGCACGAGGCAGCGTGCATTATCGCGCCCAGCGTGTGTAGCAAGCGCGCCAACACCATGTGATCCTCGCCGAGCAAGTCAAACGTATCCTGGTTTGGGATTCAGAAAGCAATAGGTTAAGTGTGTACCATTCGGTCATTCAACAGTGATGTGCCGGCAAGCAATTCCGTGTGTCCCTGGGGAAATAAATTAGGAATGGAAGACTCAACTGCCAATTCCACAATTGACAGAAAGAATACAGAGGTCGTATTTTCTTTCAAGTGGTGGGGGTTGTCAAATGGCCCTTGAAACAACAGATTTCTCACACTACAATGGTGTTGTGTTTGTAAAATATCTCATTCTGTAATATACCCCTGGGGACTGTAAAAATGTGTGCATTCCTGTGTATTAAACTTGTTCGTGCGTATTTTTTGTCATACATTATTTTGTCAATCCCTTTTTGGGTGAACACCTCACGTAATGCAGCCGAGGGGATTATTTTACCATAGTTCACCACGCTGTTCAATGTGAGTTGGTGACGGTAGGGAGCATAGATGTGGGAACATACATATACAATGCAACGATGGATTATTCTGTTTTAAATCAAACCTGTCAAAATTAAATATGAAGAATTGTTCAAAATCATCTTGTTGACAAAGTATTACACATCCCAAGCTCCACCATGCATCACAAACCTCCTACAGACCAAACAATCCACCAAAACCCAACTATAAAACTATGGTAGACACAGGTGATTTTCATTTGCAGTACACCTATAGAGTAATCTCTAAGACAATAATACACTAAATCGACTCCATCAATATATTAAAATTACAACAGACATCTCTGTACGCTCACAATAATTAACTGACAACCATATGACTTACGTGATGTCAGTCATGGTGAGGATGGTGGTTGAGGTTAATTCTAAGAACTAAAAAATTGTTTCGTGCTTTAAAAAAGAAAAATTATACTTTCAAAAATATATTATTAATTTGTGTTCGATGTAACAGCGCTTTGGCAAATCTACGTCTTAAAGGTGCCAGAGTAATTACAATAAAAATGTACTTGACTGAAATAAATAATGGTGTGGTTTTACAAAAGGTCATTCAATTTTGATTTAAAGCTTTCGTGACTGCAGGGATTCATATTCTTGGTTCTTTCGGTAAAGTCACGTAGAAGGGAAACAATAAAATAATAAAAATATAAAACAATAAAATTCTCACGACGTTTCGACTGCAACCACAGCAAGAAAATTTTCACACCTGATGATGATGATTGCTTGTGTTGCAGTCGAAACGTCGTGAGAATTTTATTGTTTTATATTTTTATTATTTTATTGTTTCCCTTCTACGTGACTTTATCGAAAGAACCAAGAATATAAAAGGTCATTAGGCATATTTTTTACATACTTCGTTGAAAGGGGTGTAAATAACCTTCATGTGTCCTTACCAGCTTGTTATCATAGTTGCTAATCAGTGGAAAGAAAAAATTGCCAGCAACTGCAGCAAAATTATTCGGGACAGCTGTGGGCTCCGGAGCCCGTGGACTGGCGAACCGCTTGGTCTTGCTGTCAATTCGACGTCGCACGATCTCAGTCCAGTGGGTCGGCAGGGAGGGGTCGGGAAGAGTTGGCCCGCCCTCTGCAATCTCGGAAACATGCGCTGGACGCGCAGCTTTAACAGCAGCCAGCGTCACCTGCGAGAGCTCCTGTGCCGTTAAAGCAAGGGTGTCCAACATGTCCATGCGCTGCCGGAGGTTGTAGTTCGGCCCGTAGAACTCGGCAGTGAGGTAACTGGCCACCCTGGCTGGGTCCGTGGCAGTCGCTGCCACCATAGCCCTTTGACGCAAACTTTGGAAGTTCATGATGCTGCCGAGTTCCTCCATGTGTAGGAGGATTTTAACAAGTTCTACGCTGACTTCCTTTGTGGAAGTGGCGTCACTCCTGATTAACGACTCAGCAGCCATCAGCGCGGCTTCCAACTTATCCGGTTTTTCTGATGCAAGCAGACCCTCCATGCAATCTCGGATGTAATGTGGCTTTTTAAGTTTTGGCATGTCATCATCGTCGTCATCAGACATGTCATAAGGCACCAGGTCATCATCACTGTCAAGGTCCTCATCTTCAACTGCTGGCTTTTTTTCAGTCCAAGATTTGTCCTCCTTGTTTCCCTTCATTTCTGGGTTGTGTTGATCTTTACCGTATTGATCCTGAGAAATCTTTTCCACAATGGCAGCATGGGAATGCATCTGTGCCTCATTCTGCTCTGGTTCTGGATTTAAAAGTGATTTGAGATGCACAGTTTCCTCATCCTCTTCATACTCAAATTTCAGCTGGTGACCCGCTGGCTCCAGGACAGATGTAATACTCTCAGCTGTTATCATGCCTAGTCGCCTGACCGATACGATGTTACTCTCAAGGTGACACTTGACACCACCCATCATCAAACTCAATAATGTATGCTTGTGCTTTTTTTTGTCCTGTTCATTCAGCAGTCCTAAGCAAATCAGGATGGCTTGAGTGATGTAGGCATGCTGTTCATAGGAGGTATGCTTCACAGAGCTGGCATTGCTCCAGGTGTCAAGGAGTGTTTTTAATGCTTCAATCAACAAAGTTCTTCTGCTGGCCGCATCCGCCAGATACCCCAAAATATTTCTTAAAATGTGCGTCTTGTCGTATCTGAGCAAGAGCATCTTCTGCGTGAGTAAGTAACGCAACTTTGGATTTTTGAGCACAAGGTCCCCCAAGAGCCAGGATAGGACTGTGTGCCTCGGTGCCAAGCGGACAAGGCCCAACATCACGCTCTCACTCCAGCGGTCCGGCACATTCTCCAGCAATCGGTAGCCAATCCTCCGCCACAGAAAGTCCATCTCAACGAGGGGGGTTAGGCGAGGCATCAGCGAGCCCCACACGGTCTCCGCGTGACCCTGTGTGCACGCCTTTCCCAGCACAGCAGAGATGAACTTCACCGAGCAGTCACGTCCATCTCTAAGCGCCGCACAAACCCTCTCAAGGGCGGCAAACGTTTCCGTGGCAAGCAGCTCGAAGTATCGCACAGGCCTGAACATTTCTCTGTTGCTCAGCTTGAGTTTGTTGGCTGCCAAGTCAGGCAAGGCGACCATCTTCCCGAGCAATGTCTCCTGCGTGACGCTGCTCTCGCACAGGCTCCCAGGCTGCTCCACGCAGCTGCGAAACATCAACTCGGCCAGGCGACCTTGGCGTAGGAAGGTCTCCAGCAGGGACACGCATTTGTCAAGGCGACTTGATGCCTCTAACCCGGCCAGAGCGGCCAGTAGAGCAAGCAGAGCCTGGTCGGGCGGGCCGGAGAGCAGCGCTGCGTCCACCAGGCTGCGCTGTTGCTCAAAGCGCAGAGCGGACAGCCAGTCGGCGCTCAGCTGGCCCAGCAGAACCTCCACGAAGCGGGCATAGTAGAGCTCTTCAAACTGGCCCCGTCGCGAGCTCGAGGTGTGGAGGAAGGATGTGAGGAGCTCGAGGGAGCTCCGTGCCTCTCCGCCATCCCCGGCTGCCGCGAGCGTGGCTAGAGCCTGACGCACGTCCAGCGCGTCTCCAGCCTCCATGTTCACTCCTCAGATCCTGCTCACCGTCAACACAAGTGGATTTGCATCAATCCCATTAATTCGAGACACGAGACTTGCTCTTTTTCAAAACAGCTATAAGGTGTGAGAATGATGTGCTTTGTTCAAGAAAAGAGATGGATGCTGAATGTTTACTTTGTCAAATTGCAAGTATCTGTATGTTTTTTTTTTACCGACAAATAAATGGCTGTTGAGTTCATAGACCTGTGGGCATTTGGTTCACAAGTTAAACCATGGTGCATGTGCTTTGAGTTCCACTGACATGTGAAGTGAGTTAACAATGTTGAATTGCGTCCACTGTATATTATTGATCTGTGTAATGCCGCCAAACTCGAAATATTGGTGGCAATTCCACATTCTGTTATGCAGCTATCACAATCCAGCAGAAATCCAACAATCCGCGTTGATAGGTGGGACAGGAAAGGCGCCACGTGCTAAGCACAAATAAATTGACTATCAAATGAGAGCGCATTGAAACTACATGTAACAATTTAAGGCCCTTTGTCCACTGTATGTATTGCTTTCTACGAATTTACTACATGTAGCCGTATACAGAGTAATGCAATTTGTCCATAAACGCGTTCTATTTACCTATTTTTATTTTACCAGGTAAAGCTCACCGAGTTATATAGCTCTTTTTCAGCTCAACGCAGTGGCTTAAAGTGTGGAAATTTATAGCCGCTAAATATTCTAAACGCAATATTTCTAAATGAGGGAAAAACCGGAGAACCCGGAAGAAAATCCGCGTGACTCCGGGGACAATCTTACATGCAAACTCCAAACATGCAGGTGTCAGGGCCGGGATCGAACCCACGACCTCCTGTATACCTTGCGAGGTAGTCAACATCTCGCCACTGTGGCGACTGTATAGTATACATGGCGAACGTGTCGCCTTGTATGCAGCTGATTGCAGCAGTACAATCCCACGTGCAATTTTAAAGCCTAAAATAAAAAAAACCCAACTATCTTGGGCAGTCACGTGTGTGGCACCGTTAAGACGGCCCCGTGCATCACGGGGGCACTGCTAAGGCGGTCGTGGAAATGTCACCTCATGACGAGCAACAGTAACGTCAACGGAGCTATATTCTGTACTAGCGTTATATGACGAGTCCGATCCAGTCGGATCTCTGAAGCTAAGCAGGTTCGAGTCTCTCGGTGGCGCTTGGAATAAGAAATTATCGGCAGTACTTGCGCTGTACTTATATCTTCCCCGCTTTCACAATCTAGCACTGGGCAACGTGGGCAAATAACCCCCATTCAGCAGTAGATTAACACACAAGAGGGCGCACACCTAAATATAGGAGAAATATCGCCAGGTATACAAATTAGTGGGCTATTGAGAAGAGTAACAGCGTCCCTCTCATCTCCGTTGGCAACACCGAGTCGGCGGCGTCCATTCCACATTCACGTGGCAGGTTCGAGTAGACCCACAACAACGTAGAGCAACCGCTCGACCACCACGTAAACAAAAACACAAGTGCTACGTAAATAATCAAAACCCCGCAAATTAGAAAGAAACGTGCAGAGTGAAGCGAGCAAGTAATTCTTACAGCGAGAGGATCGAGGTTTATGATGAAGCGTTCGTGGCGATAATACCGCGTTGAGGCCCCTCTTCGCTTCCGGGTCACCGTGAGGTCACGCCCACTGCTACGTCACGCTGCAAGGACCACCACCACCCCCACCACCACCACCCCCACCACCACCCCCACCACCACCACCCCCACCACCACCACCCACCACCACCCCCACCACCACCCCCCCCACCACCACCCCCACCACCACCACCCCCACCACCACCCCCACCACCCCCACCACCACCCCCACCACCACCACCACCCCCACCACACCCACCACCACCACCCCCACCAACACCACCACCACCCCCACCACCACCACCACCCCCACCACCACCACCCCCACCACCACCCCCACCACCACCACCACCCCCACCACCACCAACACCACCCCCACCCCCACCCCCACCACCACCCCCACCACCACCACCACCCCCACCACCACCCCCACCACCACCCCCACCACCACCACCCCCCCCACCACCACCCCCACCACCACCCCCCCACCACCACCCCCCCCACCACCACCACCCCCACCACCCCCACCACCACCCCCACCACCCCCCCCACCACCACCCCCACCACCCCCACCACCCCCACCACCACCCCCCCCCACCACCACCCCCACCACCCCCACCACCAGCACCCCCACCACCACCCCCCCCCCCACCACCACCCCCACCACCACCAGCACCCCCACCACCCCCACCACCACCACCCCCACCACCACCACCCCCACCACCCCCACTACCACCCCCCCCACTCCCACCACCCCCACCACCACCCCCCCCACCACCACGACAATCAAACTCTGGACCCGGTTTTGACATGCAGTGACTCGCCAGAAGAAAACTCAACAAAGTCCTAAATTCGAATAAAACTCGTAAATAACTGCCTTAAAAGTAAGTTAGGTATGGTATATAATAGGCGACATTTCTTCAAAGCTCATCTAATTCAAATGAAATTAAGCCCAGGCACGCATCACTAAGTGAATTGTGCGAATGCATGTTTGCTGAACTTCTTTCACACCATACGTAAGCCGACTGTGCTAATCGCAGGTGCGATAAATATTTTTTGTTGAATTTACGATAATAGGTCCGCCCTAATGCAATGTGCCAGCACCATTTATAATTTTCTATTTAAAAGAAATTAGCTTACTTAGTGGTACTCTTTGGGTATTGAATGGCTTGTCTGTTATTCATTAAACATTTACTAAATTCTTATGAAGCTCAAAATCTCATCCGCTCAATCTCTCTGGCAAAACTAGTTTTATTTATGTGCTATAAATAAGGGCCATTGCCTGAAACGTCACCTATTATATGTTTACTTTAATCCCACATTGTTATTTACGAACGTGTTAAGTTTTTTAAATTATTATTTAGACTTATGCAAGTGTAGTGAAACAATCTTGATGAAGGTATTGCATTATCGAGGGGCTACGTGGTATAACGGATGTGGCACCACCAGAGGGAATGACAGGAATGAGACTCCCGACTCGTGGTGCTGAATTGTTGTTGTAACATACCAACCTACCCCTACTGGACATCTGTGAAAAAGAGCTTTATAGCTCATCGGATTCCGCCAGTATAAATACAGATTCTGAATGTGAACACCAACACCACCATGAAGTGGATTAGAGTCCGCTCATCACACGTTGTGAGTGTGATGAGCGGACAGACACGAGGCTGACAGTTAAGGCAGTTAAGGAAGGTTAGGGCAGTTAAGACAATTAAGGGAGTTCAGGGCAGTGAAGGCTGTTAAATGAGCTGAAAGGCAGTTAAGGCAGTAAAGTGAATTGAAGGGTAGATAAAGAAATGGTGGAAGGGCAGTTAGAGAGTTCAGCATGGAGAAGAGAGAGCGCCTATGTTTTGAGAGCTTTCAATGAAGTTGTATTATAATCAAACGGTCACAGTGAGAGTAGACGCGCTACCGATTGTTCCAAGTGTGGAACAGTATATTTTATCCAATTGTGTTCAGGGCCCTCCATAAATGACGTCACGCGATTTTGGACGATTTTTTACCCCCCCTCGTCCCACGGCGTCACAAAAAGTCAGACCCCCCCTCAAATATGACGTCACAAAGCTCTGCCCCCCCCCCGCCCCAAAAACATATTTCCATTTTGAAAATAAAACATGCTCCAAATCGCTTTAAACTATTGTCATTGTAGTGCGTATTTAATGTGCTGCTGCACTCTGATGTTGTAGGAGAAAACATTTATTAAAAAGTCGATTCAATTAAGTAGAACATTTGTCTATATTTATTTAAAGGTTGCGCATTTTTATGTGACGTCACATTTCTCACCCCCCCCCCCTCGTCACACATCGTCACAAATGTCTGACCCCCCCCCCCCCCCCCCCAGGTGCGTGACGTCATTAATGGACGGCCCCTTACCCATTTGGGTTCAAATATACACGATTATCGGAGTCTTCTCTTTCTGTTTATAAATGTAGGCGAATTACACATGCACCACTTCTCATTTCGTATGGCTGACGCAGATGCAGAGCAACTACAATTTCACGTTCAGGCAGTCAAGCCAGATAACCGCGTCAGGAGCAGCGGAGTGTACCGCTGTGATGTCTCCTTCGTCTTTGTGGATCGGGGCATTGAATCGTTCTATGTTGTACGGTCTGTTCTGGATGACCACAGTCGTACACTGGAGAGTTTTTAATTTTAAAATTGTGCATCAGGTATCCGCATCTGCCATGGTTTGTGCGGTTTAGGGCGGACCATGAGCTTCGTGGAAGATCAAAGATCATGGGGATCTTCTGCGTTTTGGTCTTTCACATGCACCATCTGCAAACACAGGAATAACCAAATCATTTCGTCAGTCGGCGTGGGGGTCTTCACGATTGAGCCGGGGTGGGGGGGACACGGGGGGCGTGGCCTCACAATTGGTGGGCGGGACTTATCTTGGCGGAGGCAGGGTTATTGTGGATAGGGGCGGGTCTGACGCGCGCAGGGGCGGAACTAACTTGGAGGGGCGAGGTTGCAGTAGAGGGGCGGGGCTATAGTGGGGAGGGAGGCTGTAGTAAAGAGGCGGGGACTATAGTAGAGGGGCGGGTCTCTATAGTGGAGGGGCTGCAGTAGAGGGGGCGGGGGCTGTAGTAGATGCAGGCGGGGTTATCCTGGAAGGGGCGGTGCCTCACGAGCGAAGGGGCGGGGTCGTCCTGGAGGGGCGGGTCTCTATAGTGGAGGAGTGGTGGTGGTGGTGTTGGGGGGGAGTGTTGCGCTTGGTGAGGAGTCGCGCGTGAGCGGCGTCGCTCATTCGCGGCTGCCGTGGACGCGCGCGTTGAGCTGCGCGGATCTCGCAGTCGCTGCCCTCTCCCTCCCCCCCCAACTCTCGCATTTAAACTCTCCCGTTGCGCGCCTTTCAACCGACGCCGCGAACATTGAAAAACAAAACGAAACATCAAAGTTTTGTTGTTGTTGAGCTTTTTGTTGTTGTTTTGCTCCTCACATTGTTCTCACGAATCGCCCTGAACCCGGGCCCCACAACGAGGCGGAAATTCCCGGGGCCGCGTTAACTTTTTTTTAAAAGGTTTTTATTTTTTATTTTAGTTTTTTCAAGGCGCGCGAGATGGAAGTGACTGCTGGTGAGACCGAGCACGAGAGGATATCGCGCGTAACGTTTATTGCCAATTATTTACGCTGCTAAGATCGCGTGTTTAAAAGTGTGCTCGCGACCCTTGAAGAGCACTCACGGGCACGGGCGTTTTCCTCATCACAGCAAACACGAGCTGAGACTATACGACGTGACATCAAGAGCCTACATCAGCGACAGCAACAACCGCGAACATCAACTTCGACAGCAACAACCAATAAATAACATCAACAATCGGACAGAAACAATCGCTACCAGCAACAACAACAACCACTGCCATCAACAGCAACAACCAATACATACATCAACAACATTGTACAGCAACAGCCGCTACCATCGACAGCAACAACCACTCCCATCAACAACATCGTACAGCAACCACCAATAAATAACATCAACAACATCGTACAGCAACCACCAATAAAAAACATCAACATACAGCAACCACCAATAAATAACATCAACAACATCGTACAGCAACCGTCGCTACCATAGGCAGCAACTACCTCCCATCCACAACATCAACATCATCATCGACGGCAACAACCAATAAATAACATCAACAACATCGTACAGCAGCCGTCGCTACCATCGACAGCAAGCAACAACATCAACAACAACCTGGACAGAAAACAACAAACAACCACAACAATATCTTCTGAATCGGTGCGTGTGACCACTTCTGGTCACGGTCCTCTGGCTGGTCGCCTGAGTAAGAAGTGACCGGTCACCTCAGTTAAAAAACTAAAGGAATTGCTGTTTTTTTACGTGGTTACAAGGACTTCGCGTTTATCTCAGCGCATCGGCAGCCAACGAGAACTTCTTATTCTTCTTCTTCTTCTCCAAGACGACCTCCTTGGGTTCGCCACGTCCCATTGCGAAACCAGCTTCAACCGCTGCTGCTGCTGCGACTTCGACTGCTGCAAGTGTCTGGAGCTGTCTCGGTAAGTTGGCTCAGACAGTCGCGTGGTAGAACGTGTGATCACGACGATGTTGATTACAATGCAGTGTGGGATCGCGACGATGTTGACGATGTCGATGGCGTTGTTGACGCTCTGGCTACGAGAGGGCCCAGCGGCGTGTGGCGGCTGCGCGTTGTCGCGGTGGCAGAGGAGGCGGAGGAGGGGGTGCAGTGCGGGGGTCCGAGTCTCAAATAAGTCAATGTACAATGGAGTTTATTTAACGATTACGTTCGTCGATAACACTACCGTGAAAGGAAAATTGTTCGACGTCGACGTTTCGGACAGTGACCCCTTTTTTTGTTGTAAATGACGTTACGCGCTACGCGGAAGGGCCGACGTCTATAATATGCGACGTTTCGGGGCAGTTGGCCATTGCACAGCCCAATTACCGGTATTTGCCCGAAACGTCGCCAATTCTAGTTATTTTTTGTTAAAGGTAGGGTTATGTACAATTATTTTTTCTACCTACGTGACTTTACCGAAAGAACCAAAGAGTATTGATTCCTGTAGTCACAAAAGCTTCAAATCAAGACTTGTGTACAATTGTGAAGATTTATTTTATTTTTGCATGTGCACCGCCGTCAACTGCAGCCAGCAATGGACAAGTAATTTGTGTAATATCTGATTCATGTACATCTTTTAAATGATGTGTATTGTACGTATATACCTTGCCAAAACCGAGTGATTTGGTCATCGGCTCAATCCATTGACTTGGGTGCTCGTCAGATCTGGGAAGCTAAGCAGGGGTTTGAGCCTGTATTGGTACGGTACTGCACTTTACATGATGGGTAGTCATCGTGCACAAAGCAGGGCGGGTGTCACAGGGCTACGTGCCGGTCAGCAGACGGCAGTGCACCAAAATCCATTGTACTCCACTCATGCTTCCACGTCCCCTGATCTGGCCAGCTTTGGCTAGCGTGGTCGAGTATGGCCAAACAACCTCCACGGCCAGCACAAAATAGGGGTGGGGGGTTACCGGTGGCTTCATCCGGTAGTGGACTGATAATGGTATTTGTACCGTATGGGAATACAATATATCGTAAAGCCGTTATATAAGAAGTGAGTTCTTACGGCTGTCAGCCCACATCCGAGCATTATTAGGCCCCCCCAGTTAAGTGTCGTAACGTCTTTACCTTTGTAGATATTTGCATGCGGGGGGCATAGGCCTATATTTCCACCACGTGTACCGATTGAGCAGAGCATTAAACCCACGGTCACGTTTGTGCAACCAAATAGTTGCGTTTTCTTGAACTTACCGAGTGAGCTCTCGGTTACACAAGCGTCCGAATTTTGACATCCAACCCTGGTTATGTAACGTAAGTGGCTCCAGTCACAATCCCCATGGAAGCGGGTAATTTCCTGAGGCTGAAATTTTTCCCAACATCACTATATGCAGTGTATAACAGAACGATTATGGTCAAATTGCATAGTACGGTATGTTGGTTATTTGCAAAGCCAACGATTTTTTCTCTAAAAAAATATTACAGTACAGTATAATAACCTCGAATAAAATGGCTTTAAGGTCACTACGATTTGGAGACTGTGGTCAAATTGCCCGGAATGCGCTCGATCTCGTCAGATCTCCCAAGCTAAGCAGGTTGGAGTCTGACATAAGTTCTTGGATGGGCGACCACCGTGCATAGATTAGGGTGTTATAGGCTGTAGGGCGATGTTGTGGGCAGCAGAGGGTAGTGCAGCAAAATTAATTGCTTTACTGTAGTTGTACGTCTGTGCTCTCTCCTTGTATGCTTTTTACCTTCACCAACCTACGATGACCAGCATGGTGAAGTATGATCAAACAAGCCCCATGAGTGACAGTTTGTGTGTGGTGGGATGCCTGCTTCTAACAATGGATAAAACATATACTGTGACCCATAACCTTAAAGAGATTTTTTTAAAGATCAAAGCAGTACTATATAAGGAGTCACACCCAGTATGCCTGAACGAACTCATAAGCAGTCAACAGTAGCTGTACTATTAGTCACTTCTGATTCTTGCCATGAGAACGTAGAATTTGCACCACTGGCTCAGGATCACTTGGGCATGAAACCATTTGCTGTCATGATCATGTAAGTAATCACGATTGTTTATTTTTTACTCAAAGTTTCCCTTTGAACACATTTTTCTGGTTTCAATTAAGGCTTTGTATTTGGGAATGAGAGATTAGAGAATGTGCGCAAGTTAGATGCATATTTTTGACTGTAAAGAAAAGTGGGTTTTGGGCAGGACACGTCACTGGCACTGATGGTGGCCATTGGGAGAAAATAGAAATGGAGTGGCAGCCAAAGGTGATTACACGTCCGAGAGGACATTCAAAGCGGAGATGGAGTGATTAATTCAACATGTGTGTGCAGGTGCTCGGTGCATTGTTACATTGCAGGATTCTCAGGAATAGGGACGGCTTGGTGGAGGTCTTCATCCAGTAGTGGATTGACGGAAAACCGCACATTGTGAGAAACAACACGTGAGTGTTTTTTTTTCTCCTGTTTCCGATGGGCACGGAATGTTTCTCGCAGGGCTCAACGGGCTCCGGGTGTCTGCCCACCCTCGAGATGCCGGCGCTAAGCTATACGCCGTGATAGGAATTTCCTCCAGGAACGAGGCCAAAAAAAAACGAGCTCGGTTTGCCCTACAGTCTCGCCGAGACTCTCTCTCTGTATGACACACACACAACACACACAGCACACATGTAATGTGAATCCGTCAAATCAGGGTGTCAGATTTTGGTCTACCTGGGGAACACAAAAACACTGTTTTGTCCGGCAAACAGCAAATAAAACGAAATTCTCGACAATTTACTTTGGGTCATCCTTCGTTTTAAGTTCATGGTCAGATACGCTGAATATATTACCTCGTTGTGCAAACATTGTTTACAGCATTTGCATTCTCGGTCTTTTTGCGAAAAATACTTTAGTTTCCAAGGGCTCTATGTGTTTTGTATGCTGAATTTTGACACCGCGTATTGTAATTATACAGCCCTTTGTCAGGGCACTGTTTGATGGCGCTATGCGTTTGAGTCAAGGGGGTTATTTGACAATGCTTCACCTTGTAGGTGAAGGTGGGGAACATGGAGGTTGTGGGCGTAGAAGTACATTACAGCGATGGGTTTTTTCTGTATTGCTCTCTGATGCCCACAACGTAGCCTCCAAAACATTTTATGCATGCCCATCTTATTATTGTCCAGGCTCAAAAATCCTGCTTAGCTTCCGAGATCCTTACGCTTCCGTGTGATTTGGTCACAGACACTCCACCTGTACCACATTCAGTCTCAAGCTGAATTGTTGTTGGGATTCAAGTTATTACTGTATTGTGATGTACGGTATTGTGTAATAGTAATATATTTACAGTCATGTATAGTGGTTCATGTACAGTATTTACTTATTGTATAAAAGCGGTTGGGGTTTTTTACGCGCTGTGAGCTTTAGCACTGAATCACAATGGGCCACTTTCAAATGACATTGATGAGTGGTGTGGACGTGACTTTAGATGTGCAGTTTCTGCATTGAATGAAGTGTTCACTCTATACATGAAAGTTTTATGTGGCGTTTACACAATGTAAAGTTAAAGCCTATCAATTTTTTCGTTGAAGTTCTGAGACATAAGATACCCGCTGTTTTCACAGTATGGTAGGAAATGGGTGTACCGTGTAGAGTATTTTGTAAATACGATACTGGAATTTTAGAACACACAGACCCAGTATCTATATATACAAAAGGGAAATTTGTGAATGTGTCTGTTCAAAATGTTTAGCGTACTTCCCGACATGCAACAAACTTGAAATTTGCCATGTGGGTACTTTCCAGACTGTACACCATGCAAAAATTATGAAAATAGACTTTGGTATTTTTTTTGGGGGGGGGGCCCAATAATGCATAGATTTTGCACGGCAAGTGAGCTGTGACGTCACATCTATGTCATGTGACCCGATTGCTGAACCATAACAGAGTGTGCCTGTTGATGTCACCCCCCACAACTCTCCGCGGGTAAAGTGAAATACAAACGTGTTGCAGGGCTAAGGCGTTCTTCGCGCAGCATTGCTTTATTATTCGAGTCGTTTACTGCCGTACGCAACCCTGAAAGTTGTGTGTGTCTGCAGCAAGCGAGTGTATGTGTACCTATGGACGCGCGCGTGTGTGTGTGGGGGGAGCGGTGGTGTAGTGGTTAGCGTACTGCGCTACGAACCCGGCGACCCGAGTTTGATTCCTGCTCACGGCCACCACCGGTGACGATTATTTGAACCGGTTCTGGGCCTCCCCTAAGTCGACTCGGCCTCAAACGAGTAACTGGTGTGGTGTGTGAACATCGCCACTGGGGAGACAAAGGCGGCCAGGCATGGTGCTGGCCACCCACCCCCTCGTGTGCCGTGCCGGCCTTCATAGGTGCTCGCTAACAGCACTTGCCCCCTACAGTCTCACAGGCTACACGGTGGATCTTTGTCTTTATCCTTTGTGTGTGTGTGGGGGCAGCGACTGCGTAGTGATTCGTGCGCTGCGCTACGAACCCGGCGACCCGAGTTCGATTCCCGCTCACGGCCACCACCGGTGACGATTATTTTAACTGGGCCTGGGCTTCCCCTAGGTCGACTCGGCCTCAAACGAGTAATCGGTGTGTGAACATCGCCACTGGGGAGACAAAGGCGGCCGGGCGTGGTGAATCCAAGTCCCGGGCGAAGCCGGGTAGTAAAGCTAGTCTATATATAAAAGGGAAATTTGTGAATATGTGTGTCTGTTCGAAATGTTTAGCATACTTCCCAACGTGCAAAAACTTGAAATGTGGCATGTGGGTAGCTTCCAGACTGTACACAATGCAAAAAGTAAAAACTAGACTTTTGTGTGAGGCCACCTGAACATGGAGGCAGGCTTGTTGCACTCAATCCAGAGCCTCCTGGTTTGACGCCGGCTAAAATCGGTTGTTAACCGAGTTTCTCCATCTAACGTTGCTCCAGCTCCCTCGGCAGTAAAATATTATCCACTGTAGTAATTTAATCACATGTCACATGCGATGGTGCAAAGTGTGGGTAACCCCCCTACTACTGTCCTGACAACCAGTCCAATTTCCCTTTCCCCCTAGAAAAGGAGATGTCGTCAGGTTTCATTGTCGTGAATGCATTGTGACGGTAGGGACGACCTTCAGCTCTGATTTATCACTATTATTATTTATATTGTGATTTGAAGCTCAAGTCAGTTTGCTATTCATCACAATTTTGCCCCCATGGCAAGAGAAGGTGCTGCAGAACAGTAGTCGGTTGCATAAAAGCACACAGGCACGGCCTTGCAATTATTTGTTCACTTCACCGCTGGCGGAAAAGCTCGAGGGAGCTTTTGAGCACACCTCGAAGGCATATTTTGGCCTCTTATTCCACGCTGGCCAAACACATTGGAAGGAGTGGGAGTACCTACACTTTGCTTCACCACAATGGACCCGACTACGGTGCAGGGGGCAGAGGGATTTTAAGAAACTTGCACCATTATTTCAACTGCCGGCGCGCGGTTGCACAAAACGTACACAATGAAAAAACTCCCCGTAGCCTCTGCTCTAAATCGGTGAACATTTTCACTGAAGGTGGTTATGTAATGGCTGGCCATAGTCCTGACACAACCGCGCGTGTGTGATATTGCAGATAGCGGGCGACTCCTTGTTGCTATGAGTGCTCGTGAATCTGGAGAGGCTTTCCGCGAATACCGGGGCGAACGCTCCGTTTTACACGGAGGCGTCTCTGACTTTTGCATTGTGCAGGAGCCAATTAACGGACAGAAATACAATTATGGCTCAAAAGTCCGGCGTGTGGGAGTCTGCAAAATGAACCCCTGACTCTGGCATCACTCTTCATTATGGACACGTTCATATTCGCTGCCCTGCGGAGCTTGGATTCTGCTCGCTGTCAAAATGGATGAAAGCTTTCTCTCTACGCTTGTGTGCAGGTTTAATGGGAGCAGGTGCCCGTCTGAGTTTGTACGGATTGAGTGTGTTTTAATTACCTGGCCATGTATGCTTATGATCAGACTAATCACGGCATCTGCCGTTTCTGCTGTGTGTCTATACCTATGTGTATGTGTGCATCAGCGATCCCGCCCCATCCGTGTAAAGGTGCATGCTTTTACGTGGGTTCATGCACCTGTTTCCATTATTTTCTGTGTATTTCTCAGTAGTCTCCCCGTCAAGAACGTTGCCAACTCTCGCTCAGTAACTTTATCAACAAAGCCATTCACACTTAACCACCGTGCAACACTTACTTCCTAGACGCCACTGTCCACGCGGTGTTCTCATGTTCCCACTGATTGTGTTCAATGTGTACTTTTACAACTGTAGGTATGTAGCAATTCATGTGAATGTATCATCAGAAGCTATGCTCTATCCACTGCTAGATGGCAGCCTTCCTAAGCCTTCACCATTTATCATGGTCTTGTGAAGCAACACTCCATCTACCTCTTGTTTCCTCCTTTGGCTGCCACTTTCGTTGGTCTCTACCACCAACCACCATTCCTTTTGTCAGCCCTTGTCGCGACATAACCTGCTCGCGGTCCACTCCTGTTAAGTTAATATATCTACAATTTTCTAGGTTTTCTGATCATCTCCTGTCTCGCAGTGTCATTTCAAGAATACCCTTGTCCATGCTTCATTGCACACTTTTCTACCTTTTTTCCACACGCCTAAACTACGTGGCCCCCAAGCGTGCACTTCTGCCCACTCACGAGTGCTGTAGATACAAGCACGAGTGCGGAACGCTGTGTGCGCTGGGAATCAGTGGGCAGCACTCCTTCAGTGTGTGTAGGTTGGCGCCGGGCGTCATACATAACGAAGTGGAGGTGCAGCACGCGTGAGTCAGCCGCTTGCGGGAAGCCCGCCCAACTCCTGCGGTGCTTCATTATTGGGGCTGGCTGAGTGTGAAAGCTGCTTATACCTGGGCACTTGGTACAGCAGTTGGCTTCACGGATGATCAGTATGCTTGGTGTACTTTGTGTTATAATGCCAGCATATTGCAGCAAAATTATTGAGAATGACAGAGCCATAAGAGCGTGACGGTGTTATGGGCGATCGACCCTTAATGTGGGTGGTTTTGATGTGATTTTCTTTGTGCATCATAAGTCGTTGGTAAATGTGAAAGTCTGGTGGTACCGGCACATAGCTTTTGCATATATTTTTTATTGCGGGGACATACGCTGTCAGAAATCGCTGAAGTGAAATTATATAATTTAACACTGTGTTTTGTGTCCAAAGTGGCCCCTGAATTTCATAGTGGCACTTTGGTGAAAGTATTGTGCTCTCTGTTACCCCCTGCATCTGGTTGTTTATACAAATTTTATACCAAGAAAGATTTTCCCAAGTATTTTCTTTTTTTGGGGGGATTCAGTGGGAAATATGTTTCTCTGGTACATTTTCCTGGGATTAAAATTTAAATGGAAAAACCACGTCTATAATATGGTCACACCTGAATGTCACACAGGCATGTTACGTGTGTACTAA